TCATAACAGGAAGTACCTGAAGAAGAACCTTCACAGCAGCTTCAACAGATGTTACTTTAAAGATACATTTCAGGTATATATTATAACTATGCATATACCAAAACTGGATGATGCTCCTGGAAACTGGAAATCACTAACATTAACACCACTACTCCTGTGATCTACATTTGTGTTCTCTGATTGGATGGGATGAAGAGATTGATATCACCGCCCTGCCTCTCCACCTTTCCCAATCAAAAAATGCTTTGCATTAATTGAGACTTGAGGTGATTGGAGCCGTATTAGTGCATTTGCGACAGAAACAATTGAGTACTGTCCATGATACTTTTTTTATTTGCACTAACATACAATTTTGAGGATATGGAAGACCTCAATATTTTAGTTCATTAATTGAGAGAATGCAAAGCCTTCTCTAAATGATGCCTGTGCTGGGCAGCCAATCTCCTGTGGTCAGAAAGCACAAGGGCAGTCACTCAGCACAGGACCTTGAAGAAAATGGAGATCATTGGAGTAGCAGAGTCTTCTTCAGTGAAATCCAGTTCCAGGAGCATAAGCTCAAAACAATCTTGTGTCCCAGTTATTAGGCAGGACAGGCAGGACAGGCTAGTGTTAACAAAAGGGAGTTGTCACCCTAAGACAGATAGGGGTTTATTTACTAAAGTTGGAGAGTCCAAAATCAGACTCCCTTCTGCATAGAAACCAATCAGCTTCCAGGTTTCATTGCCAAAGCTTCATTGAACAAGCTGAGGTTAGAAGCTGATTGGTTTCTATGCAGAAAGGAGTCTGATTTTGTACTCTCCAGCTTTAGTAAATAAACCCCATAGTATGCTACTGGTAGGATCCTATCCAATACCATGACCACATTGTGTTCTTTGGTGCGGTTCCAACCTTGGAACCTTGCTTTTTCTGTGGCTGCCTGTTTAAAAGGAATACCACATCTGCACAGGCCATCCAAGGCAGTGTTACCAGAATGTCTAGCTGACGACGTGGGATTTTCAGACCCGCATACACATACTCGGCCCAATTTTGATGGGATCCAATTAACCTATTAGCATATCTTTGGATTTTGGAAGGAAACCCACGAAAACACAGAAATCATGCAAACTCTAGGTTAAAATGAAGAAAAAAATCTCGATAAAATATCAAATTAATGCAGCCATCACATCTAAGGACTGGTGGACTATAATTGGTAGCTTACTCCAAAGATGTGCTGGAAGGTTAATTAGCTCCTGTCTAAATTGGCCCTAGTATGTATATGTGAGTTAGGGACCTTAGATTGTATACTCCTTGAGGGCTGATGTGAATGTACAATACATATGTAAGACGCTGCATGAATTGATAGTGTTATTTAAGTATCTGTGATAAATAATTCAATAGAAATTAATTGGCTCTTGGATTTAAATACACTTTAAAATGGGCACACACACCTAATTAATTGACAAGTAATCTGTACATATAGGGAATGAGAAAGGAACATTTGTAGGATAGTTGCACTTTAAATAAAGCATACCTGATCAATAATAATAGGAGTCCTATCAAAAACGGATTGCTGCTATATTATGATTTTCTCAAGCTTTCCCAGGGACATTCAAGAACGTCACTTGAGCAGAAATAATTCTACAGAAAGCATTAACGGAAGAGCAATGAAAACGCAATGAAAAGTGATATGCAATCTGAGAAAAAGATCAAATTCTTCCATAGGCTTATAAACTTCTCTTAAACCTGTTTTTTTCCTGAAATGCAGATGATTATTTTAGTAGCTTAAGGGGATTTTTCACTTATAAAAGGGGAAAGTAAAGAATTTATGTTGGATCCATAATGCAGCGAGCTTAACACTCCATCAAACAGTTTTCAATTTACTTGAAAGCGGACTAAACCAAATCACTTATATAGCCGTGTTTATGATTATTATTGAGGAAAGGCAGAACAGAGCGTTAAAGAGCGAGGAGGAGGAAGGATCGGCATCTTATCTCCGGATTAAGCAGAAGGACGACACTGAGTTTTTACATATAAGAAAAACCAGTCTTTGAAATTGTTCATAAAATATTTATGACACCAAAGGGAACAAAACAATTTCTGGGGCGTATCAGACAATGTCAAAAAGAAAAGGTAAAACTAACTGAAATAGTTTCGGCAAAATTGGCAAAAATTTACAGCAGAACTTCAAGCAAATTAACAAAAAAATAAACCCTGGTTGTTTACCTATTTACAGTATGCACTCATTGATCAACCATTGAATACATTCTAAAATGCTGCTTAAGACTCATTCACACTTAATTATTCCGTTGCGGTGCATTAAAGAAGACACGCTAACCTGAGTTGAATTAAAACAGCCCATTTGTTATGAAAGGGCTGCCAATGCACGAGAGATGAAAAAAATGTGCATGGTCCATTTTTAATGATGAAGCACACCACAATGCACTGTATGTGGTACATTGGGCTCTACTGTACAATGCATTGGGGTGCCATTCACAATGAATGGCATTGCAAAGCAGCAGTGCACCACATGAGGAGCAGGTATGTTGCCATGCATTGTGGCAACGTGTGTTAACACATGAATCGTCTTAGGTGTGAATGGACCGCAACTTATTTTCCCACAGCCGCTCCATAGCAGAATCAGGTAAAGCTAGGTACACAAAAGCTTTCTTTAGCCTTGGTTCACACTGAATGCGGCTTTGAAATTGAGCTACCTCAGCTGTATTTCAAAGCTGCCAATCAGTGCGACTTCATGAGCGGCTTGCTGACATCTGTGTGACTTCATGTGCGGCTTGCTGACATCTGTGCGACTTCATGTGCGGCTTGCTGACATCTGTGCGACTTCATGTGTGGCTTGCTGACATCTGTGCGACTTCATGTGTGGCTTGCTGACATCTGTGCGACTTGCTGACATCTGTGCGACTTCATGGGCGGTTTGCTGACATCTGTGCAGCTTGCTGACATCTGTGCGACTTCATGTGTGGCTTGCTGACATCTGTGCGACTTCATGTGCGGCTTGCTGACATCAGTGCGACGTCATGGGTGGCTTGCTGACATCAGTGCGACGTCATGGGCGGCTTGCTGACATCTGTGCGACTTCATGTGCGGCTTGCTGACATCTGTGCGACTTCATGGGCAGCTTGCTGACATCTGTGCGACTTCATGGGCGGCTTGCTGACATCTGTGCGACTTCATGGGCGGCTTGCTGACATCTGTGCGACTTCATGGGCGGCTTGCTGACATCTGTGCGACTTCATGTGCAGCTTGCTGACATCTGTGCAACTTCATGGGCGGCTTGCTGACATCTCTGCGACTTCATGCACAGATGTCAATGCAAGGTACACATGAAATTGCAAAAAAATAGTGCAGGAACCTTTTTCAAAGTTGGTGCAAATCGGAGTCGCACAGATTTGAACAGTTCCATAGCTGGCAATAGGGTGTGACTTGTCATACAACTTTGATCTGTCAAGTTGCATGACAAGTCACACCGGTGTGAACTGGGGATTAAAGTGATATCAATGGTTTCTTTGGGTTTTTTACCCGCTCTGTGTAATGGGTTTGCACAAAGCAGCCCTGATCCTCTTTTTCTCGGGTCCCCCACCGGCGCTCCTGGCTCTTCCCCTTTGACCAGTGACCCCAATAGCAAGTTGTTTGGTATGGGGGCACTGGTGTGTGCTCGTTTCCGTGCCCCACTTTATGCGTCCATAAGACACATAGAGCTGCAGCTCGGTCCCACCCTTCTTTCTCCTCATTGACTCACTGGCTATGATTGACAGCAGTGGGAACCTCAGGACAGCCGAGGGTCCTGTGCACCACACTGGATCGAGAAGGGGGTCAGGTGAGTGTTAAGGGGGTTGTGAGGGGAGCAGCACACAGAAGATTTTTCACCTTCATGCATATAATGAATGAAGGTAAAAAAAAACATTCTGCCTTTACAACCACTTTAGGTTTAGTTGTACATGTGAGTTTGAAGAGCTTTCAGAGTGATTTCCCATCACCACCCTACTGAGCAAGGGTAATCTAGCTAATAGGTGGACATAGACAACAATAAAAATATGATAATGGATTTAACCCTTTCCCACTCTTTCCTCTTTCCATAAATATATACTATCTTGATATACAATATATATATATATATATATATATATATATATACACACAGTATATTTAGATGTTTGGTGTTTTGGTTGGGATCCACCTGGTTACTTGCATAGATAACTATTTTTGTTGGTGCTCTTACAATATACTGTGTATATATATATATATATATATATATATATATATACACACACACACACTGTATATATATATATAAATGTTATTATTTTTTCCATGGAAACAGCAGGAAAGGGTTACCGCCAATGTCATGTTTTTTGTCCGTGTCCTCACTCTTTCCACTGATATATATCAACTTTGCATTTATCTATCTATTTTGCCAGGAGTCTCTCTTTACACATGCACTTCAATTTTATTATCTGATTGATGTGCAATCTGATCAAAATTGGCAATCGAATAGCCATAACTTCCCTTCCAGTTGATTTAGGTTGAATTTGATCAAATTGAGTCGATTGGACAGTGGAGTGGAAAATTGTCAATTGGCAGCACTGAGATTAGTTCATGAATACAATTGCATTTCAATTGATCAGATTATGAGATCACATGCTGGAAACAGCAATGCAATCAAAAAATTATGATTGTATCATAACTAGCAATTGGTATCCATTTCCCTGTGGCTGTCAAATTGATCAAATAGGTTGTTGACAATAGGCTGGTTATTCTTATTGAAATAGATGGATCAGAAAATAAATCAATTATTTATCATCAATATGTGTATGGCCACCATAAAAGGTACCCTCAGGCCAGTGACAAATTACTCACAAGAACTATTTCATCTATCAAAAAAAATTACAAAAAGTTTATAAAATCCATGTGTGGCCCATAAGGAGCATGGTAAACCATGTTCAAAGACTGGAAGCCTGCAGGTCCAAAAAAAGTACTTTATAGGGCAGTTGGTGCAATGTTACCTGTCTGAGATAGCAGCGGTGTATAAGGGACTTTAGGTTCCATGGCAGTCATTGGTGGAGGTAACAAGGGATTGGCAAAGCTACGCAGCGGGTGCGTCGGCCGGACACAGGCAGTAGGAATTGTCCGGCTTGGAGCATCCTCATTGGTCGGATGTTCTGGCTGTGCGTGGGATATCACTGATGACTGCTGGGATTGTGCAACTTCATTCACTGCTGGGAAAAAAAAACACATAGGGATATGTAACCAAACCAGGATTTATTACCAGTCACAAATTATCTGCACAACCTTCCTCCATACAACACTATAAATAAATAAACAGTCATTTTATCTTTACACTGCTGGAGGGTTAGAGCAGCAGACAATTTCTTATATTACCCGATCTGCAGTTGTCAGGATCTACAAAAGTAATCCAAGAAGGAAAATCAGCAAACCGATGGCAGGGTCAAGGGTGGACAAGGTTCATTGATGTATGTGGGGAGCGAAAGTTGGCCTGTATAGTCCAATGTAATAGAAGAACTATTGTAGCTCAAATTGCTGAAAAGTTCATGCTGGTTTCAATAAATAGGTGTCTGAACACACAAAACACACAGTGCATTGCAGTTTGTTGCCATGTCCACAGCCTACAATGGGCATGTGGAAATCAGATTTGGACCTCAGAGCAATAGAAGAAGGTGGACTGGTCTGACAAATTCAAGGATGGTTTGAGGAACACAATGAGTTTGAGGTGTTGCCTCCAAATTTTCCAGATCTCAATCCAATTTAACATTCATAGGTAAATTTGATCCAGGGAATATCCGAGTGCCTCTTGGGGGATCAGGAAGGACTTTTTTTCCCTGCAGGAGCAAATTGGATCATGCTTTGCTGGGTTTTTTTTGCCTTCCTCTGGATCAACTGGGGTATAGGATTATAACTTTTTTTTTTTTTTTTTTAATGGTTGAACTGGATGGACTTTTGTCTTTTTTCAGCCAGAATAACTATGTAACTATCTGTAGGATGTAACCCACAATAAATGCTTAGTGGCCACCCCTCAGGCTAACAAGGTCCAATGAATAGAATGCGCTGACTAGCAAGGGTGCAGACTGGAAAAAGTTCATCCAGACCTAAAGCACGCTGTAGAAAAGAGAGAGATTGCCCGGCACCACACACCTCATCGGGCCTGAGTGGTTAGCAGGCAAAAGCATCCTCAGCTTGATTCATCCAAGCCATGACCCCAACATGTTTCGTCCCTTTCCCGGTGGCTTAATCATGCAGTTGTCCTCCACTCAGGACAGGCGAGGTGTGCAGCGGCTGGCTCCCTCTTCCTATTTCTACATCTGTAGGAAAAACCATTGGGATCAAACCTCACAATTTAAAAGACTTAAAGGATCTGCTACTGACGGCTTGGTGCCAGATACCACAGCATACCTTCAGAGGTCTAGTGGAGTTGGGTTATGGTGGAAGGTCTTAATGTTATGGCTGATCGGTGTATAATCTATTGAAAGCAATTTGTTATATTTGTTTAAGTGCAAAAATAAAACTGTTGATTCTTCCAAAAATCCAGTACATTCTTGTTGTCCCAAGGAGTGTTATCTGCCCTGCCCAGTTTATTGCTGAGAACTACAGACCCCCCCACCACCCCATGTTATGGAGATAAGAGGTGGAGGCGTTCTGTAGTCCTAGCCTGTTGATCATGTCAGAAATGCAGAGCTGTCCTGTACCTTGTGCTCACTTCATGTGTTATTTCAAGCAGAGTAATTAGCCCTCCCAGTTGTTATTTTGGAACTACAGGATGATTAGCAGTTATATTTGGGAGATGGGCAAGCAGGTGGGTCTGAGTAGTGTAGCAGAATAAAACGTCTGTCAGATCACCAAGTATTTTTCTGTGTTTTCTGGGTTTGTAAAGGGATGAGCAACGTACTGCAAATGTATGTACAGTGTGTGTGTATATATATATATATATATATATATATATATATATATATATATATATGAAGGACCTTTGGTCTGTGTGTGGAAGCAGTGGTCTCTCTGCAGAGGTCCATGACACCTCCTGCTAAGTCAGATTGCTGACTCTAGAAAGGGTGTGTTGGACCTCTCTAGAGGAACCACTGCAAGGGTTCATCTCTACAACGTGCTGGCAGGAGACAGGCTTTTCTACTCAGGTTGTGTCTGCTTTAAAAAGAATACAAAGTGTAGGACATTGAACGCCTCTTGTCTTGATGTACCTGACATCATTTAATTGATGTAAACTAAAAATTCACTTGGGTTTTTGTGAACCCCCTTATTTGCAAACTTTCTGAGTTTTCCAACCTGTGAGCATTTACTGAATTATCTCTAAAACTATTTTATATACACCTGTATTTATGTTCAGCATCTTTTTACAATAAAAATACCGTACAGTGAAGGTTATAACCAAAAATAGAACATTCTATTCCTGCCCCAAGTTCGTTAACTTAAATTACCCCTTAATGATTCCTTAATAATTATTGAAGCCCATAAAAGTAATTGCCGCAAAATGATAGACAAAGCACTTTTTAAATGTGAAAGGTGGAAATGTTGCTCGGAATACTCGTAACAAGGCAGCAAATGCAGAACAATGAAAAAGGCGCTAGGCTTTTTCTGTGGCCCCTGAGATAATTCATTATCCCCGATATCATCCTCCATTTTTACCGATAAAGATTTTCGTAGCCCCCCAGTGACAATCGGTTGCATTTTACACAAGCCATTTCTATGCATTGTGCTTGAATAATAAAACCGGGGAGTGTTAAACAAGCTTCTTTTGGCACGAATCGCACTTGAGTAGTGAAGGCTCTTTGTAAAATTTTATGAGTAATTATAAAGTCCTGTGTAATCTGAAGCTACGGCAGGTACAATGGGGCTGTTACGCACAGTTGGTCGCAGCTGATACCGGTATGGATTAGTCACTTGGGCTTATTAAGGGCGAAGAATTTGATGGAAGCTGTAATTATACATAATGAACAATGAAAGAAATGGTGTTGCGTTCCCTAAATGGTATCTAAATACACTAAATACAACCCATAAATATATACATTAAACCATTAATCTTATGCATATAGACATAAATAATAACGTGATACTTAGATCAATAAACATACGTGTGTAGACAAAAAACATCACATGATGACATAAATAAGTGAAAACTAAACATGCGTCCCCAAAAACAGGGAAAAAAACGTGACTTGAGTCACGAGTGAAGTGATAGATGAATGGCATAAATTATGCATCAATAGAAAGTGCCTGTGAAAATAACTCACAACAAATGTGAATGCACTAAAGTGATATGGACAGGATAAAACCTAATAACAAAAAATCTATTAAACCACATGACCTCCTAACACATCACTGTGTTAAATCAAAGTGATGAATGACAACCAATTGTTGTCTAACTGGTGCTATGCAATCCCTAATTGGGATAAATAAGTGTGAACACAAACACATGGAAAACAGTGTTACAACACCATAACAGATAGTGAAAAAAACTTTTCAAAGAAAACAGCGTATTGCTGAAAACTGTGCCACTAAATCATTCGTATATAATGGCGAAAAAGTCCCCTTGTGTACTCTTCAAAAATCAGGATCCTCCAGCGGCTGGATTGCCCCCTCACCTTATTGCAGCGGCCCAAAGGGCCCTTTGGGTTGCTGCAATAAGGTGAAGGGGCAATCCAGCCGTTGGAGGATCCGGATTTTTTTCACTCATATCACCTTCATCATTATTTTTATTATTATTATTATACAGGATTTATATAGCGCCAAAAGTTTGCTCAGCACTTTACATTATAATGGGAGACAGTACAGTAACAATACAATGCGATACACGAGGGGTTCGAGGGCCCTGCTCCTTGGAGCTTACAATCTAGGAGGGAGGGGATAGTGGTCCGGGAGGAAAAGCTGTGGGGGATGGAGTGGTGGGAAGAGCGGAGGAGATCAGCAATTAGGTGAGGGCGGGGTAGGCTTTTCTGAAGAGGTGGGTTTTCAGGGTGTGCCTAAAGGTGAGGAGGGTAGGCGACAGTCTGATGGGTTGGGGTAGTGAGTTCCAGAGGATGGGGGAAGCCCTGGAGAAGTCCTGGAGATGGGCATGGGAGGAGGAGACCAGGGAACTGGGAACTGGAGAGTAGGAGGTCTTGTGAGGAGTGGAGTGTGCGTTTTGGGTGGTAGATGGATATCAGGTCAGTGATGTAGTTTGGGGCAGTGTTATGAACAGCTTTGTACGTCAATGTTAATATTTTGAATTTTATGCGTTGGGCAATCGGAAGCCAGTGGAGGGATTGTCAGAGGGGGGTGGCGGATACGGAGCGGTTAATAAGGTGGATGAGTCTGGCCGCAGAATTCAGGATAGATTGAAGCGGGGATAGACTGTGTTGGGGTAGGCCGGCGAGGAGGGAGTTGCAGTAGTCAAGTCGATGATCACCAATATATGTGATTCACTCGTTTGAAGAGTACACAAGGGGACTTTTTCGCCATTATATACGAATGATTTAGTGGCACAATTTTCAGCAATACGCTGTTTTCTTTGAAAAGTTTTTTTCACTATCTGTTATGGTGTTGTAACACTGTTTTCTCTGTGTTTGTGTTCACACTTATTTATCCCAATTAGGGATTGCATCCCACCAGTTAGACAACAATTGGTTGTCATTCATCACTTTGATTTAACACATTAATGTGTTAGGAGGTCATGTGGTTTAATAGTTTTTTTGTTATTAGGTTTTATCCTGACCATATCACTTTAGTGCATTCACATTTGTTGTGAGTTATTTTCACAGGCACTTTCTATTGAGGCATAATTTATGCCATTCATCTATCACTTCACTCGTGACTCAAGTCACATTTTTTCCCTGTTTTTGGGAACGCATGTTTAGTTTTCACTTATTTATGTCATCATGTGATGTTTTTTGTCTACACACGTATGTTTATTGATCTAAGTATCACGTTATTATTTATGTCTATATGCATAAGATTAATGGTTTAATGTATATATTTATAGGTTGTATTTAGTGTATTCAGATACCATTTAGGGAACGCAACACCATTTCTTTCATTTGTTCATTAGCACATTCAGGTTTTAGTTAGGTGATAGCAGCTCCATATATATATCTGTTTAGTGTATAGTTTGTGTATTTTGAGTAGCGCAGGTGGTTTACCTATTATTGTAATTATACATAGTTCCCAACTGGTCCCTTATTCGAAGGGACAGTCCCTCTTTCAAGAATCAAATCCAAAAACCAGTTACTTTATTATCTGTGGGGTAAAGATCTGTATCAATAAATGTGCTATGTAACAGTTATTAGGAGCAGACTGGAACAGTTGGAGTTTTTGCAGCTGATGCCCACAAGATGGATAGCACACTAGGCATACTGGAGCAGTTTGTAACATCCATAGCTGAGGACCATAGGTAAACTGCAGTTCAGGAGAATGGGCTTAATTTACAAATCCCAGTAGAAGCAAGGCCATGGGCTCGATTCAGCCAGTCACAAAGGCTTCATGGGATAGCATCCTCCTGAAGCACATGGTCCTCCTTCCTCCAGAGAAAGAACAGATCTCCCTGGACTCCTGGCCGTTTATTTGCCTCAAACCCACCATCTGGGTACACCTACCCAAGGACTGGCTGGGACAAGGTAAGAGCCCACCCTGAGTATTTGTGTCAGGAGCCGCCACGATCTGCGGCTCGGCGCAGGCGCACTGTGCCGTTCACGCTAGTGTACGGGCACTAGGTCCTGGCCGGCCGCGGCGGAGACGGAATCCGCACTTCATGAGCACTTGAAGCCGCGGGTGCATGCCTGGCACCAATGACAGCTCAGGACGCTGTATTTAAACCGCCCTGCGCTGACAGGAGTTGCCGTTTGGTCTCCCTGTGTTCCTGGTTTGCTGTTCGTGATTCCTGAGTGTTGCTGACCCGGATTGTTCCTGACCTTGCTGTAGTCTCCTGCTCTGACCCCTGGCTTGCCTGACCTCCCTCCTGGATGCCCCCTATTGGACTTGATATTCTGTTGCTGACCTGGCGTGTGACCCGACCATTCTCTGCCCGCTGCTTTGTACCGCACTGCTCCCACAGCTACCGACTCGGCTTGTCTGACCACACTCCTGCTCATCCATCCATCCACCTTGCTCTGGCATATCCGCCTCTTCACATCAGGCTCTCCCCCTGCAGAAACCTCTGGCGGATCCCTCTACCACAGGAGGGTGTACTCAGGAGCCGCGACCTGGTCTCGGTTCGCTCCAAGTCCATCCCCACCATCAGGGGCCCTGGTGAACAAGCGTACCGGGACTTAGACTCCGCGCTCTGGGGAAACCTAACCAGTGGGCTGCTAGAGGTACCGCCAGGCGGTTCCTTACAATTTGAATTTCCCCGCTCTAAGCTCTGGGAAATTCTCAACAGGCTCAGAGCAAATCAGTCAAATGCCACCTCCCCATGGATTGGCTGGGGCAAGGTAAGTGCCCAGCCTGGGCACTTGAATTTCCCCACTCTAAGCTCTGGGAATTTCTCAGCAGGCTCAGGGGGAATCAATCAAATGCCCAGATTGTGCAGCCAGGAAAGATCAAAACAGCAGATTGCAGCCCCTGTGGCTAAAGAGCAAACCAAACTAAATTTAATTAACATCCTTAACCTGGGAGAGTGCTACACATACCTGTGGGATCCCCGTAGAAGCTGCAAATCTCTGTAGTAGGCACTGCTACTGCAGTGATAGCTGTCAGCTTCCGGGTCCCATGCCAAGTGACTGCCCTGCTGCTTAGTGAACACAGGAGGCTGCCCACTTAGCACGGGCACCATTCAGAGAACACACAAGGAATGCAAAGAATTTCAGACTGGAAAAGGTGGAGAAGCAGGGCGTGATGCCACCTTCTCCAACTCAAATAAGAGAACTCTTAGACCCTCCCCACGTCTTCCATTTTCCCTCAGCCAGGGTTAGTTATTTACAGAGACAGGAATGTTGTTGTCTTCTTCCACTTCAAAAGACTGTAAGAACATCCCCTGGATTGTAATTATCTGAAGTAAAATTGTGTTGGATTCAACTTTTGTACCTTAAGCTGCCCGTGGATGATGCCAAGTCAGCAGGTGACCATACTGTCTGGATAGACTGGGTCTAAGGAGGAGGTTATATCAATGCATAAAGCAGCATTTGAAAAAGAACAATTAAATTTGTTTAAAATTGTGGAATAGTGTCCATGGACAGGACAGAATATTTCTGATTAAAGGCGAACTAACCATGACGAAGGCCATGGAAAATAAATGCTTAAAAAGCTTGACTCAGCTCTGTCACAAGGCCTCTAAACTTCTTTTAAAACTTGCAAGCCGCTAAAAATATTTCCTGAGCACATCACACAACATTTTCTATCGCTCTGCCGTGTTCAAGGTACGCGCGGTCACCACTACCTCTATCAAAGTGGTCCGTTCTCGCCTTTTGAAGGGCGATTTGTTTCCTGCAAAAATGTTGTGCGGTTTGTGATGTTGTTTGTTTCTGAAGCCGCACTGCAGTTTGTCATGAGCCTTTGAAGTCCTATGCTTTTGAAGTCTAATGTGTCATAACTCAGGAGGGAGAAGGAATTTCTTAAATCACCTTTGGACTGTAGGAAGCTTTGAAGAGAGCAGAGCAGTGGGGGGCTTTACCCTAATGTCTGGATATAAACTGCTGACATCATCGGGTAGGTCAGGGGTCTCCAAACTGTGGCCGGTGGACCTGATGCATCCATTGCTTACCTTATATCCAGACCGGGGGAACTATTCTTTCCACTGATATGATGCAATATTTCTCTTTCCAAAACTGTCCCTTCCGCTGCCTTCAGCAATGGGGCATAATATCTCCTGCTGATATAAATAATGGAAAACTATTCCTCCCACTGACACCAATGATGGGGCACTATTCCTTCCAATAATACCAATGATGGGGCACTATTCCTTCCAATAATACCAATGATGGGGCACTATTCCTTCCAATAATACCAATGATGGGGCACTATTCTCCCACTGATACCAATAATGGGGCACTATTCCTCCCACTGATACCAATGATGGGGCACTATTCCTCCCACAGATACCAATGATGGGGCACTATTCCTCCCACTGACACCAATGATGGGGCACTATTCCTCCCACTAATACCAATGATGAGGCACTATTCCTCCCTCTAACACCAATGATGGGGCACTATTCCTCCCACTGACACCAATGATGGGGCACTATTCCTCCCACTAATACCAATGATGAGGCACTATTCCTCCCTCTAACACCAATGATGGGGCACTATTCCTCCCACTAATCCCAATGATGGGGCACTATTCCTCCCACTAATACCAATGATGGGGCACTATTCCTCCCACTGATACCAATGATGGGGCACTATTCCTCCCACTGATACCAATGATGGGGAACTATTCCTCCCACTAATACCAATGATGGGGCACTATTCCTCCCACTGAAACCAATGATGGGGCACTATTCCTCCCTCTGACACCAATGATGGGGCACTATTCCTCCCTCTGACACCAATGATGAGGCACTATTCCTCCCACTGATACCAATGATGGGGAACTATTCCTCCCACTAATACCAATGATGGGGCACTATTCCTCCCACTGATACCAATGATGGGGCACTATTCCTCCCACTACTACCAATGATGGGGCACTATTCCTCCCACTACTACCAATGATGGGGCACTATTCCTTCCAATAATACCAATGATTGACACTAACGATGAAGCACTATTTTTTTCCTTCCACCGACACCAACAATGGGGCACAATTCTACCCACTAACCCCAAGGATGAGGCACTACTCTTCCCCTGACACCTAAGATGAGGCACTTTTCCTCCCACTGACACCAATAATGAGGCACTATTTTTCCCCAGACACCAATGATAAGAGATTATTCTTTCCACTGACATCAATGACGGGGCACTATTCTTCCCACTGACACCAACAATGGGGCACTATTCCTCCCACTAACCCCAAGGATGAGGCGCTACTCTTCTCCTGACACCAAAGAGGATACACTTTTCCTCCCACTGACACCAAAGATGAGGCACTATTTTTTCCCTGACACCAATGATAAGAGGTTATACTTTCCACTGGCATCAATGACTGGGCACTATTCCTCCCACTGATACCAACCATGAGGCACTATTCCTCCCACTGGCACCAACCATGGGGCACGATTCCTCCCACTGACACCAACTATGGGACACTATTCCTTCCAATAATACCAACAATGGGGCACTATTTCTTCCACATCCCCAAGGATGAGGCACTATTCTTCCCTTGACACCAAAGATGGGGCATTTTTACTCCCACTGACACCAATGACAAGGGCACTATTTTTCCCCTGACACCCATAATAAGAGATTATTTTTCCCACTGACATCAATGATGGGGCACTATTCTTCCCACTGACACCAACAATGGGGCACTATTCCTTCCAATATTACCAATGATTGGGCACTATTCCTCCTACTGACACCAACGATGGGGCACTATTCCTCCCACTGCCACCAGCAGTGGGGCACTATTTCTCCCACTAACCCCAGGGATGAGGCACTATTCTTCCCTTGACACCAAAGATGAGACACATTACCTACTACTGACACCAATGACGAGCGCACTATTTTTCCCCCCTGACACCAATAATAAGGGATTTTCTTACCGTTGACACCAGTGATGGGGCATTATTCCTCCCACTGACACCAACCATGGGGCACTATTCTTCCCATTGACACCAACAATGGTGCACTATTCCTTCCAATAATACCAATGATGGGGCACTATTTTTCTCGCTTACACCAACAATGGGGCACTATTCCTTCCAATAATATCAATGATGAGGCACTATTCCTCCCATTGACACCAACAATGGGGAATTATTCCTCCCACTGACACCAACGATGGGGCACTATTCTTCCCCATGACCCCAGCGATGAGATACTATCCTCCCTTGACACCAATGAAGGGCCACTATTCTTCCCACTGACACCACTGTCTAATCCCACTGGTCACAGTCTGGCCCCCCTAAAGTCTAAAGCCCTTAGTATACAAAGTTTAGAGACCCCTGTACTAGATGAATAGATAAAGATACACCCCCATGGAAGGCAGTCCACAGACCAGCCACCAAAAGTGGAAAAAAAAAACATTACAAACCACTTGTATACAGATATAGTCAACCAAAATCTGACTTTTTACAAAAATCACTTACCTCGACTGGGTCCGAAGCCCCGATCCACCGAGAGAGTAGGGAAGGGTACGGGACGAAGCGTGAACTGTGGGTGCGGATAGACACAAGTCGGTGACGGAAGAATTCCTGGATACTGGGCACTTTCTAGCGTGGGAACTGGTATAGCGCTGACGACAGCTATAAAATAAAAAAAAAAGTCAACATAATTCTCACACAATGTGACAAAACAGTTGCAAGTTTGTAATGGTACTTTACTGATGAGATTGGCTGTGGCAAGGTATGAGGCTCCATTCAGATATCGCATAGCGGGAAGGAGCATTCCTGCTTGCGATTTTTTTAAAGCACAGTTTACCGTATGGCACACATAGGGCAGGCCATTCACTTCAATGGGTTGCCCTATGCACATCGGTTGCCCAAAAGAAGCTCCTGCTCCTTTTTGGCACAAGTGTCACACGACAATCATGGCAAAATTATGTGTTTGGCGCAAGCGCACAATGGCACCCAGGGGCGAACTGATCATTTGGAAACTCAGGCACTGCCCGAGGGCCCGGGGTCAGTAGGGGGACCTATGAGATGCCCCTGGTACCTTTTTCATAGGCTTTTTTGAGTTTGGGCAAGGACACAGGGGCCCCATGATCCCCTATTGCCCGGGGGCCCCATGAGTTGTCAGTCCGCCCCTGATGGCACCCAAACGCACATTTTCTTCTGCTATTTGGAATCGCGGGCAGAATTTTGGCGATTCTACCACGATTCCAAATCGCCAAGTGTTAATGGGGCTTAAAAGAGTAAAGCTGGCAATACAGTTTTTTTTTTGTTTTATTATTATTATTATTATTATTATTATTATTATTATTATTATTATTATTCAGGATTTATATGGCGCCAACAGTTTGCTCAGCACTTTACAATATAACGGGAGACAATACAGCAACAATACAGTTCAATACAAAAGGGTTAGGAGGGCCCTGATCATGGGAGCTTACAATCCAGGAGGGAGGGGCTAGTGGTACAAAAGGTAGTAACTGTGGGGATGGACTGGTTGGAAGAGTAGAAGATTCCATTATTAGCTGAGGGCAGGATAGGCTTCCCTGAAGAGAGAGGTTTTCAGAGATCGCCTTATTGAGCAGGGACAGCCACACACTGATTGAAAATCAATCACTGGATGGCCAGCTTGAAGTGGAAGGCCTAAATGGAACTATTCCTAAGAATGCCCCCGTCCCCTCCTCCTACCTATCCTGCCTAGCTTGTATTAAAAAATATGTGTACTTACCTATTTTTAATTCATTCTGGCCCGTGATCCTGCAGTTCTTGGAGAGCATTCAACAATGGCTGGGAATTTCAGAAGCTGTGACTTCACCCATAGGCTTCCATGGCCCAGCCATTTCCGGCACTCCTTCTCCCCTGCAGCAGTCGTTCACTGACACAGGGAAGCTGGAGTTACAGGATCCCATGATCGGACCAGAGCAAATTTCTTTAGTTCTTATACATAGTAGGCAGGATAGGTGAGAGGAGGGCAGAGATAACACTCTTTTAAGAATAGTCAGACTATCGCTCTCCTTCCACTTTAAAGGAGATATTATCAACTGGACACACACACACCTTTGAAGGGATAACATCTACCTGTTTCAAGAGGCAACTCTATATACAAAAGGCAACACACTAAAACCATGACGTGTACAACAGCCTAATTTTCTTGTATTTCAAAGTGGTTGTAAACCCTCACAAATACTGAAAAGACTGGTCTCAGGTGATACACAGAGACAAAAAAAAAATCATCCTACAGAAGTTTTACCCTTTTATCTGCAGTTTTATCTTTTCTACATCCGTTCAAAGTGCAGAATTTATAAAGCTTGTCTGAGCTTTCAGAAAACAGGGGGCAGAGAGCTGAAATTACACTCTCCTAAAGGAGTGTGCTTGATTGTAGACAGTATCATTCACTAGTGAATAACCATCACCGTCTCCAAGTGAATTGCAAACTCACCAGCGTTAGTTGCTGCCACTACAGCAGCACAAACGCCAATATAGCCCGGCAGGGAAGTGTGTATCTCGTTATAACAATCAATTAGTGAACCGCATCCTCCATGTCCAGATTCTGGTGGAATAAAGCTTGCCAAAAGCAAACGATACTCCCAATAGTGTAGTATTTTAATGATAAAAGCGTGTGAATACACAATATTACAAACAAACAAGAGCCAGCTTACATATATGGCCGCTGGCGACCCAGGAACGTGCAGCGGCATGACGTCAACACTGTAACTCCTCCCTGGGGACACTCATTGAATATTATTTTTGTGGATTTATTTATTTATTTAATTTACAAGGACATTTATTTATAAGCATTTTTTTGATTATTACTGCACTTTGCTTATTCAGCGCTGCACTTTATATATATATATTCATTTACATTGGGTTTTATACTTCCTAATTGTGTCAGCTGCTTTACCTTTGGCAGTGTCAGTGCGGATATATTCTTGTTTTTACATTATTTGAAATTACACTCTGCAGAAGCCAGTGAGGAGAGATCTTAGAACTGAATGGAGGCAAGGGACACCCCCCCCCCCCCTCCACACAGGAACAGCACCGAGGCTGTAAATCGTAGGCTGTGTGCTGGAGCTCCCTCCCCTGTCACCTTTTTCCTCTCAGTGTCAGGAAAACCTGTTAGAAGTGACACATGCAGATTCACAGCGGAATGGGGGAGCAGACAGAAATTGCACTTGGTGCTCCGGATAGAGACAAGTACACACTATAGAGGAATATGCTTTGTTCATATTTTTATGTTTGAAGTTTACAACCACTTTAATTTTAGGACAGTATAACTGTGCAGATTATGGTGAGTAGGGACTAAAGCAATTAAAAAGCCCTTCAACCGATTCAGTGCATAGTGCAGTAACGCCTTCTTAAGAGGTATTCAAATGTCTCATTTCATTACAAATCCCAAAAATGAGATACAGTAGTGGGACAGGTTCGTCTAGTGCCCAGAACCGCATCCCCTCAGTCAAAGTTAATGCAGAATGTCTTTACTCAGGGGTGTATTTTCCACAAGGCAAACAAGGCATTTGCCTAGGGCGGGATTTTTCAGAGGGGCAGCACTGTCCTTCGGAAGAACGGACAGAAGAAGGGACACATACGACATGGGGACCTGGTGGGTCCCGAGAGAGGCTGTGGGTTTCATGACGGTGTATGCACAGCCTGACTCTCGTTCCCGGGGATATCCACAGCTGTGAAGGTGAGTGTCTTTCTCTCTCTCACTGTGGGGATGGTGATTGGTGTATGGGGGCAGTGGTAGTGGAAGGCTCTCTCGGGTGGGGGGCAGTGGTGTTGTTGGTCAATGTCTGGCTCTCTTTGCAGGTGGGGGGGGGGGCACCAATTTTTTGTGTTGCCTGGGACAGCACAAAACATAAAGACACCACTGAGTTTACTGCCCTGTGTCTATTCTCTGCTCTCTTGCTCCCCACCGCTTGTCCCGGTCCTGATGAGACAGGAGGATGAGCTTCTCACTGTGCTGCTTCTCCTTTCACTGTCCAGTCACATGTTGGGAAAGGACAAGGCCTATAATGTTACTGACATCCAATAGAGAACAGTCAGGTATCCTGCCCTGCCAGACAGGGCTGAGCTGTGTAAATCTCAGGACTGGAAATGCAGATCCATTGGCAAGAAAGTCAGCCCCCTATCTCAGTTTCCTGATCTGCATGGCCAATGACTCAAACAAGAGTTTACCTTTAAAGTGGCAGTAAACTTACCATGTACAGTCAGGTCCATAAATATTGGGACATCGACACAATTCTAACATTTTTGGCTCTATACACCACCACAATGGATTTTAAATGAAACGAACAAGATGTGCTTTAACTGCAGACTGTCAGCTTTAATTTGAGGGTATTTACATCCAAATCAGGTGAACGGTGTAGGAATTACAACAGTTTGCATATGTGCCTCCCACTTTTTAAGGTCCCAAAAGTAATGGACAATTGGCTTCTTAGCTGTTCCATGGCCAGGTGTGTGTTATTCCCTCATTATCCCAATTACAATGAGCAGATAGAAGGTCCAGAGTTCATTTCAAGTGTGCTATTTGCATTTGGAATCTGTTGCTGTCAACTCTCAAGATGAGATCCAAAGAGCTGTCACTATCAGTGAAGCAAGCCATCATTAGGCTGAAAAAACAAAACAAACCCATCAGAGAGATAGCAAAAACATTACGCGTGGCCAAAACAACTGTTTGGAACATTCTTAAAAAGAAGGAATGCACCGGTGAGCTCAGCAACACCAAAAGACCTGGAAGACCACGGAAAACAACTGTGGTGGATGACCGAAGAATTCTTTCCCTGGAGAAGAAAACACCTTTCACAACAGTTGGCCAGATCAAGAACACTCTCCAGGAGATAGGTGTATGTGTGTCAAAGTCAACAATCAAGAGAAGACTTCACCAGAGTGAATACAGAGGGTTCACCACAAGATGTAAACCATTGGTGAGCCTCAAAAACAGGAAGGCCAGATTAGAGTTTGCCAAACGACATGTAAAAAAGCCTTCACAGTTCTGGAACAACATCCTATGGACAGATGAGACCAAGATCAACTTGTACCAGAGTGATGGGAAGAGAAGAGTATGGAGAAGGAAAGGAACTGCTCATGATCCGTCGCATACCACCTCATCAGTGAAGCATGGTGGTGGTAGTGTCATGGCGTGGGCATGTATGGCTGCCAATGGAACTGGTTCTCTTGTATTTATTGATGATGTGACTGCTGACAAAAGCAGTCGGATGAATTCTGAAGTGTTTTCGGGCAATATTATCTGCTCATATTCAGCCAAATGCTTCACAACTCATTGGACGCTTCACAGTGCAGATGGACAATGACCCAAAGCATACTGCAAAAGCAACCAAAGAGTTTTTTAAGGGAAAGAAGTGGAATGTTATGCAATGGCCAAGTCAGTCACCTGACCTGAATCCGATTGAGCATGCATTTCACTTGCTGAAGACAAAACTGAAGGGAAAATGCCCCAAGAACATAAATATATGATTTTTAGATTTTTAAAATTTTTTTACTGGACATGTTTAACCTCCATGGTGCTTTTGACCTAAAGGGACGCTTTTTGGACGCCATGGACGTTTCTCAGTTTCCAGGCAGAAAGAACAGTAAAAATGCAGGCAGGGCACAGGACAAAGCACTCGGGACAAAATGTATGTGAAATGATTTGATACAGTAATGGAATACTATGTGATTTCAGTGTATTGAGTAAATGTCAAATTTTTACATTTTTGATTTTCCAGCCGGTTCTGTTCCCCATACATCCCGTATGTCCCGACGCTCGCAGGGAACGGAACCTGGAAGACGGATGCCGGCATCGGCCAGAGGAGATGGCCGGGGATGCTGCAGGGGGGACATCACAGGAGCGAAGGACAAGGTAAGTTCTGGAGGGATCCTGGAGCAACGCTGCAGGGTAATCCCAAATGTAGCTCGGGGTTACCACTTCTGGTGCTGAAAGCTAACCCCAAGCTACACTCAGGAATACCGCCAGGGGGGTTAATAGAAACAAAATCAAAAATATTGGTTTTTTTTTTCAAAATTGTTGTTTTTTTTTGTTTATAGTGCAAAAAAGAAAGGTGATCAAATACCACCAAAAGAAAGCTCTATTTGTGGGAAAAAAAGGATGTAAATGTCATTTGGGTGCAGCGTTGCATGACCGCGCAATTTTCAGTTAAACTAATGCAGCGCTGTATCGCAAAAAATGTCCTGGCCAGGGAGGGGTAAATCCTCTGGAGTGCGAGTGGTTAAGTAATGAATTTCCACAGATCCAGCATTGCCTTGTCAATGCAAATAATATAGCGCACAAAAAAAGTCTTCTGTATGGAAAATAAATCAAACAATTGAACATTTCCTTTATTCCTTTTTTTTTTTTTTCTTTCCTTTTTTGTTATTACAGTGAGATCAGATCTGATTGAAAACCCGAAGAAACGACTGTAGCTTGTGACAATTGAATTCCGATGTGACACTAATGTTAAGAGTTTGCAAGCTGAAATGCTTTGCACAAATCACGTTGGCTTTTTACAACTCTGCAGTTCTCCATCAACGGAGGCAATTTACTGCCGCCTGTCACATTTTATATTCAGTGAATGAATGCCTTTACATCGGGAAAGAGATATAAACAAAACAGATTTGGTCTCAACAACCACTATATTTCCGCGTGCCATTGTTCACACGATTTCCCAGCATGCACCTCCACAGACGGATTACTTGGAGGGGACAAAAAATTGAATTACAGTCACTTCGTGTTATCAGTGCATCTACATAAAGGCAATGTTCTATCACTGCGTTGTGTTATTGTTGAAGTTAGCTGATATTTGCTTTGAAAAGCCGATTGCATAACTTCATGGTGGATGACGTGTTTTTAAAGGACTTCGACATGAAGAAAAATCTCTATATACTGAAGGATGTAATCAAGAAATCATTATATAGGGGGTCATTCTAAAAAAAAAAAAGTACACAGATGAAATACACATGTGGGAGCCAAAGGATGTTTGATTCTGTCCATCCAGTCATGAGATTTACACAGCTCTGCCAGATAGCAGAATCAGGTTTTCCATTGTAGTTAAAGAGACCCGGTAGCCATGCATTTGATCAAAACCTTTCCCATAGGATTATATGTGCATCGAACATATTTTAGCCATAATATTTCCCCTGTAAAAGCTTCTGTTGTGGAGACCAGAGTTTTTCATTCATGGCAGCCTCTGAAAGTATGTTAAATCATGAGGCATGCCAGTCCCCCTTCACATCAGAGCCTCCCCATTAGATAAGAAGCCACCCTTTGAAGTCCTCAGTCCCCCTCCTTTGACATCCGAGTCCTCAGTCCCCCTCCTTTGACATCCGAGTCCTCAGTCCCCCTCCTTTGACATCCGAGTCCTCAGTCCCCCTCCTTTGACATCCGAGTCCTCAGTCCCCTCCTTTGACATCCCTTCCCCTCCTGACATCCGAGTCCTCAGTCCCCCTCCTTTGACATCCGAGTCCTCAGTCCCCCTCCTTTGACATCCGAGTCCTCAGTCCCCCTCCTTTGACATCACATCACCCCACACTTTCATCAGAGTGCTTCCCCCCCTTTTCATCAGAGTCCACAGTCTCCCCCTTTTACATCTGAGTCATCAGTCCCCCTCCTTTCACATCAGAGTCCTCAGTCAGTCCCCCCCCCCTTTCACATTATCAGTCACCCCCCCCTTTCACATCAGAGTCATCAGTCCCCCCTTTCACATCAGAGTCATCAGTTTCCCCCCCTTTCACGGCAGAGTCATCAGTTCCCCCCCTTTCACATCATAGTCCTCAGTCCCCCTCCTTTCACATCAAAATCCTCAGTGCCCCCTTTTACATAAGAGTCCTGCCTTCCAATCTTCATCACAATGTGGCACCCCCATTGAGAAACACTGGTGTAGACATACAAAATCCTCGATACCGCTGTTGGGAGCCGCCATCTTAGATGTGACGTCAGCAGCCCCAGCAGATCCAGAGCTTCCACTCACATAACAATGATAGGCAACCTCAGCATTCCAGCTGTACTAAAACTACATATCCCATCATGCCTCTGAGTGATGCCTGCGGTTGTCAGAACTTTTGCAATGCCATGCAGAATTTCTAGTTGAACCACAGCTGGAGTGCTGAGGTTGCCTAGCCCTTCTCTGTAGTATTGCCCTTCACTGGCAGCTACATAAAAGCTTTTGTAGGGAGGCACATGTAAGCATTCAAAATACTTGACCATTCTATGGTTTTACCTGATTTTTTTTTTAAAGTCCATCTCCAGGGGAAATAAAAATCCTCTGTTGCAATTGTGCTGCCCTTGCACTGCAAGGGGTAAACGCTATCTTGGGTCTAAGGGAGCAGGGTAAGCAGTACCTATCCCACCCTCCACTAGACTCACAGCTCTCCTTTATTCCTCTACACCACAGCAGCAGACTGTCCCTCGTCATCTTCACATCCAATGCAGGGCTATGGGCTTCAAATTGGTCTTGATGACATCAGAGCACCTGTGGCTGCTACAGCACAGTGGAGAAGCAGCTGCGGGGACAAAAACAGATGGATGGGGATCCATTCCCCATCCCTCTGGTGGATTAGATGACAGTCGGGTGAAAATGGATAGGCAGTCCATTTCCATCCTACCACCCTATAGGGAAAAGCAGGCTGTGTCTATGTCCACTCTGCAGCAAGCTGGTGGGTCCACCCCGTCTAAAAGGGGCCTAAATGAATGAATGCTTTACTTGAAGTTTTCATTTGTAATCAGCATGATCTGAAGATATGAGAGCAGTAAGACAATGCAAAGAAATATCAAATAAACTTCAGACCATCAGAGCCCATCCTTACATTACAGACCCCATTAGAGTCCCAACTTACATCAGAGTTTTCATTATAGTCCCCCCCCATCTTACATCAGGGTCTCTATCAGAGTCCTCTCTTACAGCAGGCCAGATAAAATCTTGCAGCAGGCCAGTTTTGGCCCTCAGCCCACAGTTGGAGACCCAAGCCCTAGAACTAAAATAAAATGTAACCCTTAAGCTGAGGGGTCAGCCCCACTGCAAGGCAACATTTGTTATTTCCCAAGAATTCAGCTTTAAGATGATGACAGGGTCTCTTTAAGCAATACAGATAGTTCACTGCCTTGCCCTCAGCCTGAGAATGGCTAGTGATCAGCTCATCCCTCTGCTCATTCAAACTCTATGCTAATGGAATCCTTGGTGGAAACCAAACATACACTATATTGCCAAAACTATTGGGCCAGCCCTCCAAATCATTGGATTCAGGTGTTCCAATCACCTCCATGGACACAGGTGTATAAAATCATCACCTAGGCATACAGACAAACATTTGTGAAAGAATGGGTCACTCTCAAGAGCTCAGTGACTCCAAGCGTGGTCTCGTGAAAGGTTGCCACCTGTGCAATAAGTCCATCTGTGACATTTCTTTGCTACTAAATATTCCACGCTCAACTGTTAGTGGGATTATAACAAAGTGGAAGCAACTGGGAACAACAGCAACTCAGCCACCAAGTGGTAGGCCACGTAAAATGACAGAGAGGGAGCACATGCTGAAGCGCACAGTGCGCAGAAGTCGCCAACTGTCTACAGAGTCAATAGCTAAAGACCTCAAAACTTCATGTGGCCTTCAGATTAGCACAACAACAGTGCATAGAGATCTTCATGAAATGGGTTTCCATGGCCGAGCAGCTGCATCCAAGCCTTACATCACCAAGTGCAATAAAAAGCGTCGGATGCAGTGGCGTAAAGCACGTCACTACTGGACTCTAGAGCAGTGGAGATGTGTTCTCTGGAGTGATGAATCACATTTTTCTGTCTGGCAATCGGATGGACGTGTCTGGGTTTGGCAGTTGCCAGGAGAACAGTACTTGCCTGATTGCATTGTGCCACGTGTAAATTTGGTGGATGGAGGATTATGGTGTGGGGTTGTTTTTCAGGGTTTGAGCTTGGCCTCTTAGTTCCAGTGAAAGGGACTCTTAAGGCGTCAGCATACCAAGACATTTTGGACAAATGCATGCTCCCAACTTTGTGGGAACAGTTTGGGGATGGCCCCTTCCTGTTCCAACATGACTGCACACCAGTGCACAAAGCAAGGTCCATAAAGATATGGATGAGCGAGTTTGGGGTGGAAGAACTTGACTGGCCTGCACAGAGTCCTGACCTCAACCCGACTGAACATCTTTGGGATTATTTAGATTGGAGATTGTGAACCAGGCCTTCTCGTCCGACATCAGTGCCTGACCTCACAAGTGCGCTTCTGGAAGAATGGTCCAACCTTCCCATAGACACCTTCCTAAACCTTGTGGATGGCCTTCCCAGAAGAGTTGAAGCTGTTATAGCTGCAAAGTGCGGGCCAACTCCATATTGAACCCTACAGACTAAGACTGGGATGTCAGTAAACTTCATGTGCGTGTAAAGGCAGGCTGACCAATACTTTTGGCAATAATAAAACCCACATTAAAAAATAAACCTGAACCCATCAGAGCTCACTTATATTGGAGTCCCTCTTACATCAGAGTTTCCATCAGGGCCATCCCTTACATCAGGGTCTCCATCAGAGTACCCTTTCAGATCAGAGCCCTGCCTTCAGCCTGTGATTGGCCAGTAAAGGAGCAGGATCACTCTGATCAGCTCCTCCCTCTGCTCTTTCAAACGCTATGCTGATGGAATCCTTGGTGGAAACCGAAACACAAGACACTATAAAAAATTACACCTGAATAAAAAAATAACTCTTGAGTTAGCCTCCTGCCTTTATTTGTTGCTTAGGTTCAGCTTCAAAATGACATCTGCAACATACTATGGTCATTTCAAAAATCTATTCTAGCCCAGATGTTGCCGTAGCTATTAATTTTTCCACAAGATGGAAGACCCTACCGTCTCTGTCCTTGGTGTGAACTCATAAAAGAATTGATTTCCTTAAGCGCGGAAGGCGAGGGAATCCATATCCTGCCTACATTGACCCCATTAGCTCCCTTTCACCATAACATCACAGGGAAATGCATGTTAGTGTTCTGAACAAAGAAATATTACAGCCTTCTGCTCGCCCAGAAAATCTTGAAAGGGGATTTACACAGAAAAAATAAAAATGGGAAAATAAAGGTTGGTGTGCGGGAGCTTGTAAGCACTTCGACAAAAAGGTTTGACCTATTTCGCTGTTGTCTTCCCTCTTATCATGGCCATCTGCGTTCTTCAAGATCAAAAGAAAATTTCCTTGAAGCAAGTTGCCGTGTACTCTACATTTTCCTAGTGACGGCTAATGGAACCAGCATTTCATATGGACGTGGAAATACTCCGACGACGCATATCATCCCCATGTTTTCCCTGAGATTAAAGGCAAATTCCTATCTCCATATTGAATTTGACTTTTAGTACCAGCCGGTAGCCATCCAATATCAGCAGAACATCTGCTGCTTTACCTTTAGCACAAATTACCTTTTCATCATATACAGTATAATCCTCGACTTATTGCTAACCTGCCATGCAGCAAAATCCCTGTCTGAAGCTTATTATTGAAGCTGCCTTTTTTCTGATTGCTAGTCTACATGGCCAGTGAGCAGTCCAGGATGTCCAGGAAGAGTAGCTTTCACCGAGGGCATTTTGATTCATAACAGGTTCCCCTTATCAGTTTAGCAATAAATCAGGGATTATTTATGCCGCCAAACTGATTTTTTTTCTTACTTTTTACTCCTTTGTAGCATGCAAACGGTTAACATTTTGAAATCAAAGTAGAAGTAGGCAAAAAAAATAACATATGTGTCTCAATCTGCAATCGGCATTCACACAGATGGTCTTGGTGTGATGATCAGGTGTTCAAAAACTTCTGCACATATAGATTTTCAGACCTGACACCCTAAAACAATGATGTGTGTACCCACCTTTCATTCAGACTGACAGAACAGCTTAAAAAACAGGTAGCTATGATCTGCCAGTGAGGAACAGTACCCAAGCACAGGTCCTCTTTGTTCAAATTCTTCCACTAGTGTGTCTGCTAGGCCTGTTTCACGTGGGCTTGAGCTTGTATAAATGCAGTGTGAACAGCAAGCTTTGACAAAGCATTTGCAAAGCTTCCAGCAAGCTTTGCTAAAGCTTTCAAAGTACCATTCAGCTTTAGATTGTAAATGTTGAACACAGATCCGAATGAGAGTGCTGATTGCCACTTCAAAAAAGCAGCTAGCAGGCTTCAGAACTTCTTCAAGCTTGTTGAAAGCCTGCTAGCAGCTTGCTTAAAGTGGCAATCAGTGCCCCCCGTTAGAATCTGTGTTCAAACTGGAGTTTAAAAGCTTCAACAAAGCTTGCTAGAACATCTGCAAATGTTCTGTCAAAGCTTGCTGTTCACACTGCTCTTATACAAGCTCAAGCCTGTGTGAAACATGCCATGGCTACCCCATATAAATTCATTTTTTTTTTTCAGAAAAGTTTGCTGTTCTTTTGAAAGGTAATTGAGTTTACATTATGCAGCCACATTGTAGTTTAGATCTAATCAGTGCTAAGCAGGGGCGGACTGACCATTTGGAAACTCAGGCACTGCCCGAGGGCCTGGGGTCAGTAGGGGGCCCCATGAGATGCCGCTGGTACCTTTTTCATAGGCTTTTTTGAGTTTGGGCAAGGACACAGGGGCCCCATGATCCCCTATTGCCCGGGGGCCCCATGAGTTGTCAGTCCGCCCCTGGTGCTAAGTACAAGGTCCTTCGTTCTACTGATGAGTCCGCAGAGATATTTTATTTTTTCTTAATGGACACTTACATGGATTGTTGGCCTGTGACTCCATTGGAATCATGAGCTTGGCCCTTGTGGCTCTTCTGGCTGCTAGAGAACGCTCCAATGTGGAAATGTTACTCCCAACTTCATCAGCATCTGGACCTGGGGGAAATAGTTCTTCTTAGTAGAGTTCATGGACACAGTGAGCAATAACATACATCTGACCTATCAACATTCAGATCTACTTCAAGTGTGCCAAAGAATTATATACAGAGGAAGGGCTCTTTCACACTGATGGCAATGTGTACCACTCTCTGAAAAGTGATCTGCATGTTGGCAGGCATTCAGGAGGTGCTACTGTCACCTACAGACACCTTTTTTTTTTTTTTTAGTGGTGTGGCCCTAATTGATCTCAGTGGGTGAGTTTGACAGGCGGTGCCACCTGTCAAACTCTGCAGCCCAAGTAGCTATGAAGTAAAGCATCGTGCAGCCCTGTCATAATTCCGGGGGGTGGGGGGGTGTCGGTGGTGGTATTAAAACTGCGGCTAAGGGGAGGTGTTCTGTAGTTCACAGAGGTAAACTGGGCAGGGCTGATAGCAATGTTAGAGATGACACTGCAGAGGGCACACACTGTAGGGCAGCACTGGATTTTTTCAAGGATCAACACTTTTTTTGATATAACAAATTGCTTTTAGTGGTATCTTTACAACAGACTAAAAGAGAATAAATAAGAGAAGTTCAAAATACTGTAGCTGATGACCTTCAAAAATCAGGTGCTTACCTGTGCTTAGGGTTCAGTGTTGCCTTTCCACAGCCAGTTGTTCTAACCTCTGCAGGTCTTTGGTGTTGCCACCTTTTGGATATCGGAGCCGACTGTGGCCTCCTGAGGAACCACAGCTGGCTTCCCACTGCACATGAGCATGGCCTCCCAGCTTCTTGGGACATGTGACATGCCCCAGGAGGCTGCGGGAGGGTACAAAGCAAGGGATGTTATTCTTGCCTAATAGACTAGGTTTGTGGAAGTGTGAGCGGTTACCGATAAAAATCAGTACTCCCTCCCCCCCAATCAGTACTCCCCCCCCAGCCTCTTTTGACATGTGACATGCCCCAGGAGGCTGCGGGAGGGTACAAAGCAAGGGATGTTATTCTTGCCTAATAGACTAGGTTTGTGGAAGTGTGAGCGGTTACCAATAAAAATTAGTACTCCCCCCCCCAAAAAAAAAATACTCAGTTACAGGCTAGGAAGAAGGAGCAAACCAGCAGGAATTCACTTTTTAAGCAATATTTTTACCTATCTCCAGTCTAAAGAAATTTCTTTGTGTTTCAGATTTCTGAATGGGGGGTCAATATTTATTATAACAACCTGAGCAATATTGGTGCTGTAAAGAGAAAACCTGCAGTGTATGCATTCCTTGAGAAAAATTTCAATAGTCTTTTCTTGTATATCAGTGCAGATTTCTGGGGCAAGCAATGAAATAATCAAACAAGCAGCATCTCAGATCAGTGGCCGTTTTGTACACCAATGTAAACTTCCATATTCACAAATATACTTAGACTACTACTGTATATGATAATTGGTTTTAAGGGAATAAGAACAAATTTTGGTTTAATTAGTTTGGTCTGTCGGGAACTAATTAGTCTTACCGGAATGTGAGCTTTTGCTGCCCAGCTGAGACTCTGATTGGCTGTGGCTAACTGGTGTGATATCTTGGCAGCTGGGCCGGGGGGAGTCCCGCCCCTGAGTTTCGGATCCAGCTGGCTTCTCTATGTTCTTCATCTCCATCTCCTCGTGGTGGATCCAAAGATCTGGAGGCCTAAGTTCCTTCTGGCTACCTTTCCGTTTACTAGCGCTGTGTGTGGCCCGTTTTCTGAAAAAAAAAACTCTGACCATTAAAACATCTGGAAAACATTTTAAAGACATATCCCAGCCTAATTAAAAAGTAGGGTATTATTTTAAAACAAGGAAAGGTTACCAAATACAATCAATTCAAATTTATTCATGCTTTCCATGCAGCAAAAGAAGAGCTAAAGTATATCTAGTGGTTTAGTTTTGGATAGAGTAGGAAATATTAAATTCTTTGTCAGTTTTATTTCCGACTGTGAGGATTTTGCCTTTACTTCCTGTTCAAGAGACACAACAGAAAGTGATAAAATATAATCACTGGAAAGGAAATCACGTTTTATACATTTGTCAGTGGAAGAAGAATCCCCATTGGATGAATTCCTCCCTATTTCAGCTGTGAAATTTTTGGCTTCCCATCAATATTTGTCGAGATAACAATAGTCTTCAGTAAAAACACTTAGGGGGAGATTTACTAAGACTAGATCACTCAGAATCTGGTGCAGCTGTGCATGGTAGCCAATCAGCTTCCAACTTCAGCTTAATCAGTTAAGCTCTCACAAACAAAAACCTGCAAGCTGATTGGTTTCTATGCAGAGCTGCACCAGATTTTGCACTCTCCAGTTTTAGTTAATCTCCCCCATAGAAACCTATTTAAAAAAAAAAGTTTATATAGCTTTTCATCTAGCTAAGCATTGGTGCATTTGTTCCGTGTATAAAAAAAAATATTGTTTTGGGAAAATACCACATTACGGCCATTAGATGGAGCTGAGGATCATATTTATTCTTAGGATCCTCAGCTCCATCTAGGGGCCATAATGCAGTATTTTCCCAATCCATTCTATTCTTTTTTTTATGACTAAATAACATTCTATCTGATAAAGAAATAGAAGAAGAACATTTGATTTTGCCCCTTTCACACGAACAAATGAACTAGCAGTTCGCTGGATGAATAGCTAAACTTTTTAAAATACACCTCATAATGTAACATCAATTATTATTATTATACAGGATTTATATAGTGCCAACAGTTTGCTCAGCGCTTTACAATATAACGGGAGATAATACAGCAACAATACAGTTCAATACGAGAGAGTTAGGAGGGCCCTGATCCTGGGAGCTTACAATTATTACTATTATTATTATTAATAATAATAATAATAATAATCACCATGTATATAAATGCATTATTATTATTTTTTAATGTGAAATGTAATAAAATAATAATCAATGTAATTATAATTAATATGAATTATATATTTAATTATATTTATTATTATTATTATTAGTAGTAATAATTATAATAGTAATAATAATAATTATATATAATTGTATATTTTTTTGGAGCTTACAATCTAAGAGCAATAAATAATTAAAATAGGATGTAACCTATCCTTATTCTAAGCAATGCATTTTAAATTGCAGTCCACTGTCTGACAACGTCCTATACTTTGCATAGGTGCTTTCTCCCCTAATTTCATCACAGAGACATCACTGCTTACTAGAATAACAAAGGATCAAATTAACGTTTTAATTAATTTACGGAACATCATGTTTTTTCTATAGCTTGAAACCACCGATAAATGAAATTAAAAAAAATCAGTGGCCAGACACCGTAGAAAAAATTCATTTCTTCATATGTTGATATGTCTGTTGATATGTTCATTTTCATACGCCTGGCTGTTAGAAGCTTGTAGAAACCACTGACATGCCCTGGACACAGTTATTATTCTGATATGGGGTATCGGTATGTGATCAATGTCATCAGACTAGTGCTCAGCAGAGAGAACATAGGAAATGGCATTACATACAGATGCTCAGGATGGACTGTGAAAACTTTTCAGATATTGATGTTGAAGAAAGTTGACATTTGGATTCTCAGGGGGCTGGGTGCCAGGTGCCATGCCACTTTAGCACCAGCTGCCTACTGATCCAGAGTGTAAGTTGTATGCTGGAAGTCCCCTGGGTAACTACAAGGACTTCCAATGACAGCTCTCATCTGAAACTGCATAACGAAAGAAATATTCCTGGCGTTCCAGTTGAGAATTCAAGGTTTTGGGTTTTTCATGGGAAAAAAAAAAAAAAAACCTCATCTGAATGGCAAAACATCTACAGAGTCAGGAAATCAAAACTTTCACATGCTTATTATTTATCTATGGGTAGATGATACTGTCTACATTTAAATCCTCAGAGGGAGGGAGGCTGACTATCACAATCACATATTCCAGATAAAGGCAATCTCTAGAGAAAAGCTGCTTCTTTTCGTTTCGAATTAAGTCCATAAATTAATCACTTTGTTTAGACTGATTCGTTTTTGGAATTCGTTTCATATATTCAGTAATTTTATATATTCGCTACTATGAATCGATTTGCATTTTCCAAACTTATTTCGGAAGATTTGATTAATTTGTGAAGTTCATCAACTTGCTTGCGACTTCAATGCAACTTGCTTGCAACTTTGATGTTTTGGGACTTTGGCCAATCATATCAATACAGAGTGTGACACATAAGGAGGGGTTTACTAAAACTGCAGCACTCAGAATTTGGAGCAGTTGTGCCTGGTAGCCAATCAGCTTCTAACTTTGGGTTGTTCAATTAAGCTTTGACAATAAAACCTGAAAGCTGATTGGTTTCTGTGCACAGCTGCACCAGATTTTGCACCATGCAGATTTAGTAAATAACCCCCATATGATTGAATTTATAAAACCCTCTGAATTTGCCAAAGAATGAAACAAATTAATATGAATGAGTCATTTTTTAATAATTTATTTCAGATTTGTTGACATTCATTACTATTGTGACTATTTGTTACTATTGTGAATTTCAGTTTGTAACAAAACTATGTCTAGCAGTCTCCAACACAGGTATTATTGCATTGATAGCATATGAAACATTACTGTATTTTACCCACATCACCTAGAGGAACATCTTCATTTTGTGAGTACATACCACTATAAAGAAATAAAGGAAAGAAATGAAAATGGAAAGGGAGAGGAAGAAGGAAAGGGAGAGGGAAAGGGAAAGGGAGAGGAAAAGGGAAGGAGAGAGGGAAAAGGAAAGGGAGAGGGAAAGGGAGAGGAAAAGGGAAGGAGAGAGGGAAAAGGAAAGGGAGAGGGAAAGGGAGAGGAAAAGGGAAGGAGTGAGGGAAAGGGAGAGGAAAAGGAAAGGGAGAGGGAAAGGGAGAGGGGAAAGGAGAGGGAAAGGGGGAGGGAGAGGGAAAGGGGGAGGGAGAGTGAAAGGGAAAGGAAAGGAAAGGAAAGGAAATTGGTATTCCCTGAATTGTTGGTTCAGAAACAGAGAGCAATAGAATCCTGATTACTGCTAACATTGGGGATCTCCAGATCAGGGCAGATTGGTTTACATAGAATATATCCAACATAAACAAACAATGAAAGGAAAAGGAAATTAAAAGAAAGTAGTGTGGAAAAGAGAAGAGTGGAGAGGACAGTAGAGGAGCAGAGAGAAAGAAGGAATTAGAGAAAGAGAGAAGGAAAGAAAGAAAGAAATAATTTTATGATGCTCAACCAACCTGCTTTTAGAAGACTGTGGTGGGGTCAGGCCCGAACTAGGACAAAAATAGGCCTGGGCACCTAGGAATGAGCAGCCCAAAGCCTGGGGACCCTTTCGTCAGAGCCCGGTGGTGAAATGCCAGGGCCCAGTCGAAAGAGCGACCTTTGCAACCCTGGTAATTCCGCCACTAGTGTAGGTTTTTATTTTCATTTAATTTTTCACAATTTTATATTTTATTATTTTTTAACATTTTTTTGTAAGGAAGGAAGGAAGGAGATGGAAAGAGTGAGAGGGAAAGAGAGAACTATAAAAAAAAAGAAAGAAAGAAAGAAAGAAAGAAAGAAAGAGAGAACTATAAGAAAGAAAGAAAGAGAGACTATAAAAAAGAAAAAGAAAAAGAAAGAAAGAAAGAAAGAAAGAAAGAAAGAAAGAAAGAAAGAGAGAACTATAAGAAAGAAAGAAAGAGAGAACTATAAAAAAGAAAGAAAGAAAGAGAGAACTATAAAAAAGAAAGAAAGAAAGCGAGGGGGCTGCTGGAGGAGATGAAAGTGGGGGGTCGCTGGAGGAGATGAGGGAGGAGGGGCAGCCGTGGAGGGAGCATACAGGTGCCGACCGCATGCAGGAGATTGATAGGAGAGGTGGCTGGGCTTACATAGAGAAACCGAGAAATGAACAATCCTCTATGTGCTGCCCAGCCGCCTCTCCTATCCATGTGGCCCTGGCCCACCGGGCAAATGCCCGATGTGCCCTATGGCCACTCCGGGCCTGGGTGGGGTTAATAGGGTGTAAATAATTTCCCTTTGACTGATAAGGACAAGTAGATATTATTAAACTGAGCAGATTTGTAAAATGTCTATTCATTTTATTAGCACACCTAAGGCATTTTGGGCCCCTCCGTACGTCTTACCGGATAAAACTTCAAATTATCAATCTCCACAACCTGCCTTTTTGCTAGGATGTGAAAACTGTAGGTTTTGGCTCCTGTAATGCTAAGAGTGAGTACCTAATGGATTTTACATCCTAACAACAAAGAATGACAATACCATTAATGAAAGTTTTACCAAACTTTTCCGTTTTTTTAATATCTACTGGGGCCCCTTGACTGCCCAGTCTATTTTTTGGAAAACGTGGACTTTTAAGATAAATCCCTTTTATATTTATAGATGGGAGAAGTTGACAAGTTAGTACTCCCAGGATTTCCCGAATTACTGGTTCAGGAAAAGGGAGCAATGGAAGTGATAGCCATAGGGATCTGCAGATCAGGGCAGCTTGATGTACACAATCTATCCTGGGATAAAAAATAAAGTTAGCATTCAGATAGCATACCGACCACCAGCAACTTCTAAATGTGTTTTTTGTGGTTTTAGTAACAAACATATTTTTGGATCAATGCTGTACACACTGGAGAGGGCTATGCTGGATGTCTGGAAGGCCTGAGGATTTTTGAATGGTTAAGAGAGACATATCTGCTGCTTCTCGAGTACACTCTTGTAAAACTCATAATAGATGCTCTTTTCCTTCCAAACATCTAAATTGACTGCAAGCTGAAATTCCGCTGCTCTCGTCTTATCTCCTTGTCTTGTTACCCTGCCAGCAGCTGGGGAACTGCAGCCTGGAAATGTCTTCAGAAAGACGTCATTTCATACATAATTCTTAACAAATCCAAGAACGTTTTTCTCACTGGATGCTGAATGTGGCAGCATTGTACTAAATTGCTGCTTAGGAGGCTCCGGCCAACTCTAGGGCACAGATCTGCAGGAATTGTTTATAGGGCGGAATAAAAAAAAAAAACTAGTGGATGTGATTAAAGGATTGACAATTAAAATGAATAAAAAAAAAATAGAAAAAGGAATTTAAAAAAAAATAGTGGACATAAAGGATTAAAAATTAAAATGTCTGATGTAATGTGCAACCAGAAATCTCAGGGTATCTACAGATCTGTCCACAATTTAAAGTGTACCCATTTTGTATTGGAAATGGAAGCAGATGGTGAAGAACAATTGATTGGCAACACCAAGCCCTGCTCTACCATGTGTCTTTTAAGCCAAGGACAACAACCTTAATACATAATGGATGTAAATTGGTAGATTCTGCCATACCAAGTGTACTGGTGATACTACCTGCAGACTTATCCACAACTCAGAAGAAGCATTGTTTCTAAACAGAAGAATGGTAGGCACACCCTGCTGAACTACATGTAAAATTGGTGCTGCCTGAAAGGAGAAGGGAGGAGTGTAGGGCCCACCATCTCCTGAACCATACCAGGCCTCAATATGGGTGGGGTACTTTGCCAGGGGAGGATTGGATGATCACTTGCTTACTTGTAGAATTAAATTTCTGTACTTTTTTCATCTGTCAACGGATAGGCCTTATGGCTGTAAGTTGATCAAAACACAGGCAGCAACTATAATACTAGGCATATTGGTTTAACCCAGTGTTTCTCAACTCCAGTCCTCATGGACACCCAACAGGTCATGTTTTCAGGATTTCCCTCAGATGAAACAGCTGTGGTAATTACTAAGGCAGTGAAACTGATCAAATCACCTGTGCAAAATAATGGAAATCCTGAAAACATGACCTGTTGGGGGTCCATGAGGACTGGAGTTGAGAAACACTGGTTTAACCCAATACCAATCTCTCTATATTGGAAGTATATATAGAGGTGTATTTACTAAAGGCAAACAGGCTGTAAACTTTGCAAAGGAATTTTCCTCAGAGCTTAAATGGGGTGAAGTTCTGCTGACTTCCATTATTAATTACCGTATGTGCAAGCAAATATAGTTTTTTTTTTATTCTCCTTGCATGTTACATATTTACATAGTTCTTCTGGTTGGAAAAAGAAGACACAAGTCGATTCAGTTCAACCAACAGGGAAAAAAACACATAATAAAAGAAAAACAACACATACAAATAGAAAACCTCCATATACAGTACACTATCCTATACCCACAGTTGATCCAGTGGAAGGCAAAAACAACTGCAATAAAGCATGATCCAATTTGCTCCAGCAGGGGAAAAAAATCCTTCCTGATCCCCCATAAGGCAATCAGATATTCCTTGGATCAATTTTACCTATAAATACTAGTATCCAGTTATATTCTGTGTAATTAGGAAATGTGGTTGGGTATTCTTTGCAAAGTGAACGTTCACCACATTCACTAAGCTAAGGGGCAAATTCCCTTGCAAAGTGTAACTTCCATTGCAAAGTAAGCAGCCTATTTGCCTAAAACAAATCAACTCTATAGAGTCTATGGCAATGGCTGTAAGAGGATCAAATACAGGCGGCAATTATTGTGCTAAGCATATAGGTTTAACCCTAAGCCAACCTCTCTGCATCTGAAGAATATATATAGTCTGGCTATACGAGAATCAAATACAGGCAGCAACTATTGTACTGACCACATTGGTTCAATCCAATGTCAATCTCTTGTAAATACAGTTTGGCTATAAGAGGATCAAATACAGGCAGAAACTATTGTACTGACCATATTGGTTCAATCAGGGGCGGACTGACAACTCATGGGGCCCCGGGCAATAGGGGATCATGGGGCCCCTGTGTCCTTGCCCAAACTCAAAAAAAGCCTATGAAAAAGGTACCAAGGGCATCTCATGGGCCCCCTACTGACCCTGGGCCCTTGGGCAGTGCCCGAGTTTCCAAATGGTCAGTCCGCCCCTGGGTTCAATCCAAAGCCAATCTCTATATCTGCAGAATATACACAGTCTGGCAATGGATGTACGAGGATCAAAGACTAGGGATGAGGTGTGGGGTTCCCTTCTACCATGTATTTATGGTGAACTGTAAACCATTGGCTTAAAACATGGCAGATTTGCTGCCAGCTATCAGGAACAAACTATAATGCAGTACACAGCTGGTCAGATGAGTCACAAGAACCAATAGTTTATATGATTGGATAGCCCAGCTCTTTTTCTTTAAAGGGTGGGCTTATGGCAGCCGTATTGTCAGTGTGTGTTGGCACCTTTCTGTGTAGGTAAGTAGGAGATAGTCTTTATTATACTTGTAAAATTGGCATTGGTACATGTTCCTCATGGCAATATTCAGCATTGCCTGCTGTTTCACAATAGTTGGCCATAGAAATGGTCAAAACTTAATAAAAAGAATAGTCCTCCGTGGATTTCAATGGAATTTGCAGCAAAAGAGGAGACAGAACACAATAAAAACTTGACAAGTTTTGACACTTATCCACTTTATCAAGCGCTAAAACAAAAAAGGTTCAGCCTGGAGCTGAGACTTAAATACACATTAGATGGACCTCCCTAGAATCATCAGGTCTATGTGGGGACTACTACAATGCACTAGGGATCGAACATGGAAATTTGACAGAGTGTGTGCTAGTTGCTTCAATTGTTTTAGGATTCTATTTATATATGTCAAACAACAAAAAAGAAAACTTCCCAGCTCTAACTTGCCAGCCAGCCTGCAAACAAACCAAATTAACCTGTCTAACAGTATGTGTTAAAAACAGGGTTTAATTAGAACACATTTGCAAATACATGCATAAGCTACAGAGTCTCGTCATGGCACCCCAGTATTCTGTAGTTCCTAACTCTCCAATTTTAAGAGCCCCCATAGTAGAGGCACATGTATTTAATGGATAGACCAAGGGCAGTTGTTTGACATGTGTTGCCCTTCCTTGTGCTCCTTGCTGCAAAGGTCAGTTATAGACTGGGGCAGTGGCCATTTTTTGTACTGTTCTCTTTATATATACAGCATCCTCTTACAATTGGTTCTTGACATCATGCGTTAGATATATATATATTGTCATCATAAATTTGTGCTATGGAACTGTTGTAGCCTCATTCATAGAAGGATTTTCTCAGTTGAGTTTAATTATTTAAAGTGATTGACCAAAAAGTTACGTACTTCCTTTGCTGTGCAGACGACCTCCTTGTGCAGATCACGGCTACTATGACTACCACCAAAATAGTGATTGCTCCGACAGTAACCACAATGATGACCAGGAGATTGCTGTTCTTCTGCGGGGTGACGCCATGCGGCGGATGCATCTGTCCAATGGGAGGCTCTAGAATGTGAAAAAAGTAACAGATAACCAATTGTTAAATGATCACAGATAGGAATTTTGGTTTGTGGAGAATAAAAAGGAAAAAATGGTTTCTCCACTTCAGCCTTTCAACAAGGAATCTAAAAATACACTGCCATGCGAATTAACATTGACTTTTGTGATTGACTGTTGGCAGAAAATGCAACCCATAAAAGATCTTGGCTTGCATCTGCAATTAATACCTGTCCACAGCTCAATTTCTCTGGTTGTGATCTGTACATACAACAGAATGTCATTCAATTCAACACAAAGTCCTCCCTTAACCAGGGCTGTAAGGCAGTGGACACAGTCTAGGGTGGTAAGGTTAGAACCAAGCTTTGAAATATAAATAATATACAAATTGTGAGGACTTCTTGCTCTTTTGTCCTCCTCTGGACTTTTAGGACCAAAATATACAAGAGAACTGAAAGGGGAGGGAAAATATCAAGAGGAGTCACAAGGTTCTTTATCCACTTCAGCTTCAAAAGGTTTTACCCCCTTTATGACCTGGCCATTTTTTTCTATGTAGCACTGCGCTACTTTATAATTTTGCGGTTATGCAACACTGTACCCAAACAAAATTTATATAATTTAATTCACACAAATAAAGCTTTCTTTTGGTGGTATTTGAGCACCACTGTTTTTTTATTTTTTACTTATATAAACAATAAAAGACCAAAAATAAATACAACATATGCAATTAAAAAATTTTAATCGTATTGAATTTCTTCCTAAATTTAGGCCAAAATGTATTCTGCTACATGCAGGGGTGGACTGACAACTCATGGGGCCCCCAGGCAATAGGGGATCATGGGGCCCCTGTGTCCTTGCCCAAACTCAAAAAAGCCTATGAAAAAGGTACCAGGGGCATCTCATGGGGCCCCCTACTGACCCCAGGCCCTCGGGCAGTGCCCGAGTTTCCAAATGATCAGTCCGCCCCTGCTGCTACATGTCTTTGTATAAAAAAAATCACAATAGGTGTATATTGATTGGTTTAAATGAAAGTTATTCACTTGCCCTCCAGAAGATTTACCCCCCCTTAATAACCAAGCCATATTTTGCTATTGGGCACTGCGCTATTTCAACTGGTAACTGTCATGCAATGCTGTACCCAAACAAATTTTTTTGCGGTGTAAACAAAAAAAAAGACTGAACATTTTGAAAAAAAATCAATATTTTTTTACTTTCGGTTATAAAAAATATATGGTAAACTCAAAGTTAGTCATAAATTTAGGCCAAAATTTATTCTGCTACATGTCTTTGGTAAAGAAAAAACCCAATACATGTATAATAATTGGTTTGTGTGAAAGTTATAGCATCTAAAAACTATGATATGTAAATTGGAATTTATGTAGCTTCTACTTTCTGACCGCCTATAACATTTCTTGAGGTGCTAAAATGCCAGGGAAGTACAAAAACCACACAAATGACCCTTTTTTGGGAAAGTAGACATTTTATTTTTTTGCCACAAATTTTTGGAAAATTAAATTTTTTTTTTACACTAAGTTGTCACTTATATGATATATTGCTCACGTATGTAATTGGCTATATCTGGAATAACACCCCAAAACACATTCTGCTACTTCTCCAGAGTATGGGGATACCACATGTGAGAGACTTTTTGGCAGTCTATCAACATACAGGCCCTCAAAATCCATTGACCACCTCCAGGCTTTCAAAGGGCATATTTCCTCATATTACTTCCACACTACCTATCACAGCTTCGGAGGCCCTAAAATGCCAGGATAGTACAAACACCCGATAAATGACCCCTTTTTGGAAAGTAGACACCCCAAAGAATTTGATAAGAGGCATGGTGAGTATTTTGCAGATATAAGTTTTGTCACAGGGTTTTGAAAAAGAATAAAAGAAAAGAAAGAAAAAAAATACACTTTTGTTTTCTTTCTTAGTTTTCCAAAAAACATGAAGCAACAAATGAGATCTGAAAAATACTCATAATGCCTCTTAGCAAATATCATGGAGTGTCTACATTCCAAAAAGGGTCTTGGGGGGTGCTTCTACTATCTTGGCATTTCAGACACGCTTGAAGACCAAGCCTTTTCTGACACTTTTTGTTTACATGAAATAACCCCCAAACATTATTTGTTTTTTTAAAGCAGAGGCCCTAGAGCAGGGGTAGGCAACCTGCGGCTCTCCAGCTGTTGTGGAACTACATTTCCCATGAGGCATTGCAACATTACAAAACTGACAGTTACAGCTATGACTTGCAGAGGCATGATGGAACTTTTAGTCCTGCAACAGCTGGAGAGCCACAGGTTGCCTACCCCTGCCCTAGAGAATTAGAGGGTGTTGAAATTTTTTATGTCACACAGTAATTGCGCAGCAATTTTTCAAACGCAAATTTTTTGGAAAAAAATACACTTTTTAGCATTTTAATGCGCAAAAACACAATATATTACCCAATTGTTTGATAAAATATAAAAGATGATGTCACGACAAGTAAATGGATACCAAACATGAAATGCTTTAAAATTACGTAAATTTTAAATATCCATAGGCAATACTTTAAAAGCCTTTACAGGTCACCACTTTAGACTTACACAGGAGGTCTAGTGCTAGAATCACTGCCCTCGATCTGACTTTTGCAGTGATACCTCACATGCATGGTGCAATATCTATTTACATACCGCCATGAGACCGCCATTTGCGTTTGCCTTTGCACGCAAGTACGGAGATGGGGGTGGGGGTGATTTTTTTTTCTAATTATTTATTTTGCTTTTGTAAAATTATTTTTACACCATCCCTTTAATTTTTTTTTTTGATCATGTTTCTTGACATCATAGGGAATATAAATATCCCCTGTGATAACAATAGGCAGTGATTGGTACTCTTTTCTGAGAAATCTGGGGTCTTTTAGACTCTAGATCTCTCCTCTGCCCTTAAAGCATCTGTTCACACCAAGATTGGTGTGATCAGATGCTTTCCCAATTTTACAATGGTGCTGTTTATATCTGGCGAAATAGAAATGCATGTGGCTTCCGGTCTCTTAGACCATAGAGATGATTGGAGGCATTCTAGTCTCTGATCAGCTTTATTGTCAGCCACCAGAACTGCCGGTCGCATTTTTGGGTTTCCCTGTGGGACAGGAGAGCCAAAGAAAACGATGGAAGGTGGCAGGAAGGGTGGGGTAGTCCTGTCCCCCTGCTTGTAAAAGCAATCCAGTGACTAATTACCAGCTAGTATTGTTTTTACATTAAAGCTGACAAGCAGCTGAAAAAAACAGTTCCAGAATGATACCTGTAGCTGAAGGCGTCATCCTGGTATAACCACTCAAAGTCCAGCAAATACCAGTACATTGCTAGTCTATGTTGGGCATATATGTAACAGCAGAGAACATGGGGATATGATGAATCGGGTCTGTGGACCAATTCATTCTTTTTTGCAATGCCCATGTTGAGTGTTAGGCCCAAAAAAGTTTTAGATTCAGAAGCCGTGATAGATTTCCATGCAAATTGTCTGGTAAGCTGAATTTGGGTGGGCGGCGATGTATTGTTGTGCATATAAATTGCTTTGGCCCACAATCAACTAATACTAATCTTCAGTGAAAAACAGCGGAGGGGCTAAACGTTAGTGCTGGCAGTCAATGGGGCCAATCCTGCTAACAGTGCGTTTTTGGGGACACTATATAAAGGAGGCACTAGTATAGTTCTGTTCGTGCTCAATATATTGATCTGTACAAACACTATACTAGTAATGGCAGTGATCAGCGACCTATAGTGTGAGTGTGATAGTGTGCGGGCAATTTAACGCTAGCTGGTCCTGGCTGGGAGGGGCGCTAACTGATGTCATCTGATGTCGCAAGTGGCAGTAATGTGAGATGGGAAACAGCTCTCCTTGTTTGAACACTGTTTGTGTGCAGTAAATTATTGTGTGGAGTAAATTAAATGTTCGGGACTGACATTCTGAGGTTTGGCCACAAGATGCCACTGTTTTCCTAACACAGCCTCAGACTGCATAGATATTTCTATATTCATGAAAAGGGTGGGGTTTTCACACAGAGTTGAAGGAACAGGAAGAAGAGAGACATCAGCCATGTTTGGTGGATGGTGAATGCAGGAGCTGTGTGAGCAGAGAATCTGATGGCATCCAGGTGTGAGAGCATCCCTCAGTAACCAGAGCTGCAGCTAAGTGAAGCTGATCGTGTCCAAGACCCTGATCCTGTTCAGAGAAAGAAAGATTGCTGCCAGGAATGCTGATGAGAGCAGAGGAACAAAGTAACATACACTGCGATACCGCATGCTTGTTGGAGAGACATTTGTTCTGTTCAGAGTCACCATCGGATGCAAAGCAGACACGGGTCGGTAAGATCCTGCACGCACCTCATTTCAGTGTTGGCGCCTAGAGACTGAGGCCAGGCCTATAGTTAGTTAGTTAGGGTCTCTGTTTGTGTCAGGCCACAAGTGTTATTACTGATCATTGGAAGGACTCCATAACTTAAAGTGACATTTCGCATTGGAGGGCTGATAACATCCCACAAATTCAAGCCAGACTGGCGTTTTGCTCAGAAGGAATACTCAGGCACGTGCTACAGGACCAGTTATGGGAGGGGGAATACTGTAGATTTGTGTAAGATTGTAAGCTGTTGTGCTGCACCGCAGGCTAGCCCATACCGTACATCCATACACTGATTCCTGCTCTTGTAGGGTAATAACAGGTAAGGTGTGGCAGCTTAGTTTTCCCCCCAGTAGGTAAATTACTACACCTTTTACCTTCATCCATCAGAAGGCGCCGTGCTGTGCAGCACAAGGGTCTCAGCCTTTGGGCTGGGTGTATGTAAATTTATTGTATGTTTCTAGCATTTGTGGTTGTGTTTATTTGCCACATCTAAGTAAAATTCTGTTGTGGTAAAAGCTGGTGTTGGGGTTGCTTTCCTTGTTCGTGACTTCACTGTATCCTGGGGAGCCCACCCCGGTACACAGCCTACAGTAATACAGTGATCAGTAGAGATGAGCGAATTTCTCAAAAATTCGATTCGGCTGATTCGGCGAATTCCAGTGTGAAATTCGATTCGATGCGAATTTCTTCGCTACGAAGATGACTTATAAAAAAGGGTTTCTAGGCTTCAGAGAGCCTTTAAATTAGTGCAGAACACTGTACCTTTAATTTAAATGCCCTTGGAGATGAGGAAAGAGAAGGAGAAGGAGAAGGATGAGAAGAAGGAGAAGGATGAGAAGAAGGAGAAGGAGAAGGATGAGAAGAAGGAGAAGGAGAAGGATGAGAAGAAGGAGAAGGAGAAGGATGAGAAGAAGGAGAAGGATGAGAAGAAGGAGAAGGATGAGAAGAAGGAGAAGGAGAAGGATGAGAAGAAGGAGAAGGATGAGAAGAAGGAGAAGGATGAGAAGATGGAGAAGGAGAAGGATGAGAAGAAGGAGAAGGAGAAGGATGATGAGAAGAAGGAGAAGGAGAAGGATGAGAAGAAGGAGAAGGATGAGGAGAAGGAGAAGGATGAGGAGAAGGAGAAGGATGAGAAGAAGGAGAAGGATGAGAAGAAGGAGAAGGATGAGAAGAAGGAGAAGGATGAGAAGAAGGAGAAGGAGAAGGATGAGAAGAAGGAGAAGGATGAGAAGAAGGAGAAGGATGAGAAGAAGGAGAAGGAGAAGGAGAAGGATGAGAAGAAGGAAAAGGAGAAGGATGAGAAGATGGAGAAGGAGAAGGATGAGAAGAAGGAGAAGGAGAAGGATGAGAAGAAGGAGAAGGAGAAGGATGAGGAGAAGGAGAAGGATGAGAAGAAGGAGAAGGAGAAGGATGAGAAGAAGGAGAAGGAGAAGGATGAGAAGAAGGAGAAGGAGAAGGATGAGAAGAAGGAGAAGGAGAAGGATGAGAAGAAGGAGAAGGAGAAGGATGAGAAGAAGGAGAAGGATGAGAAGAAGGAGAAGGAGAAGGATGAGAGAAGAAGGAGAAGGAGAAGGATGAGAAGAAGGAGAAGGATGAGAAGAAGGAGAAGGATGAGAAGAAGGATGAGAAGAAGGATGAGAAGAAGAAGGATGAGAAGAAGGACAGTTCTGTGACAGTTTCTGTCTATTTCTGACAGTTCTATGACATTCCCTCCATACAGCGGTTTGAAACAGCTGTATGGAGTGAATGTCCCAGAGAACTGTCAGAAATAGACTATTTCTGACAGTTCTGGGACATTCACTCCATACAGCGGTTGAAAACATTGTATCTATTTTTTTCCATAAATGACATCTGCAGATACACTTAGAGGAGCGCTGCAGATACACTTTTTGCCGCTTGGAATTATTCTTTTTTTCATCCTACTTCTTCTTTTTCTTCTTATGAGGATGAGGATGAAGAAGAAGAAGTAGGATGAAAATAAGATTAATTCCAAGCCGGCAAAAAGTGTATCTGCAGCGCTCCTCTAAGTGTATTTGCAGAATGTCATTTATGGAAAAAAATAGATACAATGTTTCAACCGCTGTATGGAAGGACAGTCCCAGAACTGTCATAAATAGTCTATTTCCGACAGTTCTGGGACATTCACTCCATACAGCTGTTTCAACCGCTGTATGGAGGGAATGTCATAGAACTGTCAGAAATAGACTATTAATGACAGTTCTGGGACTGTCCTTCCATACAGCGGTTGAAACATTGTATGTATTTGTTTCCATAAATGGTTGAAACATTGTATGTATTTGTTTCCATAAATGGATCCATTTATGGAAACAAATACATACAATGTTTCAACCGCTGTATGGAAGGACAGTCCCAGAACTGTCATTAATAGTCTATTTCTGACAGTTCCATGACATTCCCTCCATACAGCGGTTGAAACAGCTGTATGGAGTGAATGTCCCAGAACTGTCAGAAATAGACTGTTTTTCTGACAGTTCTGGGACAATCACTCCATACAGCTGTTTCAACCGCTGTATGGAGGGAATGTCATGGAACTGTCAGAAATAGACTATTAATGACAGTTCTGGGACTGTCCTTCCATGCAGCGGTTGAAAACATTGTATGTATTTGTTTCCATAAATGGATCCATTTATGGAAACAAATACATACAATGTTTCAACCATTTATGGAAACAAATACATACAATGTTTCAACCGCTGTATGGAAGGACAGTCCCAGAACTGTCATTAATAGTCTATTTCTGACAGTTCTATGACATTCCCTCCATACAGCGGTTGAAACAGCTGTATGGAGTGAATGTCCCAGAACTGTCAGAAATAGACTATTTATGACAGTTCTGGGACTGTCCTTCCATACAGCGGTTGAAACATTGTATCTATTTTTTTCCATAAATGACATTCTGCAAATACACTTAGAGGAGCGCTGCAGATACACTTTTTGCCGGCTTGGAATTAATCTTATTTTCATCCTACTTCTTCTTCTTCTTCATCCTCATCCTCATAAGAAGAAAAAGAAGAAGTAGGATGAAAATAAGAATAATTCCAAGCCGGCAAAAAGTGTATCTGCAGCGCTCCTCTAAGTGTATCTGCAGAATGTCATTTATGGATGGAAAAAAAATAGATACAATGTTTCAACCGCTGTATGGAGTGAATGTCCCAGAACTGTCAGAAATAGTCTATTTTTCTGACAGTTCTGGGACATTCACTCCATACAGCTGTTTTTCAACCGCTGTATGGAGGGAATGTCATAGAACTGTCAGAAATAGACTATTTATGACAGTTCTGGGACTGTCCTTCCATACAGCGGTTGAAACATTGTATGTATTTGTTTCCATAAATGGATCCATTTATGGAAACAAATACATACAATGTTTCAACCGCTGTATGGAAGGACAGTCCCAGAACTGTCATTAATAGTCTATTTCTGACAGTTCCATGACATTCCTCCATATACAGCGGTTTCCGCAAAAAGTGTATGTGCAGAGTTCCTCTATTCTGCAGATACACTTAGAGGAGCTCTGCAGATACACTTAGAGGAGCTCTGCACATACACTTTTTGCCGGCTTGGAATTATTCTTATTTTCATCCTACTTCTTCTTCTTCTTCTTCTTCTTCTTCATCCTCATCCTCATCCTCTTCTTCTTCTTCTGAGGATGAGGATGAGGATGAAGAAGAAGAAGAAGAAGAAGAAGTAGGATGAAAATAAAATTAATTCCAAGCCGGCAAAAAGTGTATGTGCAGAGCCCCTCTAAGTGTATCTGCAGAATAGAGGAACTCTGCACATACACTTTTTTGCCGGCTTGCAATTATTCTTTATTTTCATCCTACTTCTTTCTTCTCTTCTTCTTCATCCTCATCTTCTTCTTCTTCTGAGGATGAGGATAAAGAAGAAGAAGAAGAAGAAGAAGTAGGATGAAAATAAGATTAATTCCAAACAGGCAAAAAGTGTATGTGCAGAGCTCCTCTAAGTGTATCTGCAGAATAGAGGAACTCTGCACATACACTTTTTGCCGGCTTGGAATTATTCTTTATTTTCATCCTACTGCTTCTTCTTCTTCTTCATCCTCATCCTCATCCTCAGAAGAAGAAGGATGAGGATGAGGATGAAGAAGAAGAAGAAGAAGAAGTAGGATGAAAAGAAGAATAATTCCAAGCCGGCAAAAAGTGTATGTGCAGAGTTCCTCTATTTCTGACAGTTCTCTCACAGCTTCTTCACATGTACAGCGGTTGAAACATCTGTATCCTAAATGGAAACTAATAGATACAAATTGTATCTATTAGTTTTCCATTTAGGATACAGATGTTTCAACCGCTGTACATGTGAAGAAGCTGTGAGAGAACTGTCAGAAATAGAGGAACTCTGCACATACACTTTTTGCCGGCTTGGAATTATTCTTCTTTTCATCCTACTTCTTCTTCTTCATGTGCAGAGTTCCTCTATTTCTGACAGTTCTCTCACAGCTTCTTCACATGAACAGTGGTTGAAACATCTGTATCCTAAATGTAAACTAATAGATACAATGTTTCAACCGCTAAACATGTGTTCCTTCTGTCAGAGAACTGTCAGAAATAGCGGAGCTCACTGCAGGGACACTTTTGCCGGCTGATCGGGAAATGTTCGATTCGCGCACCCGAAGTAGGCAAAATTTCGGTTTCGCCGCGAATCGAATATTTCCTGAAATTCGACTCGAATTCCGGTTCGCCTGGTTCGATTCGCTCATCTCTAGTGATCAGTGAAAAATTCTATAAACTGACACTGTAGTAATGGCACTGGCTGGTGATGGGGCAAACAAAGGGTTAATAGGGGCGATCAAAGAGTTAAATGTGCTAATCTAATGTGTATGTGAAATGTAGTGCTTGTATTCAGTGCCCTGGTGTTCATTGTTCTCTCCCTGAATGGCATAGGGGGCAGTGGGGGACGCATGCACAATAGAAAGTGACGTAATATTACGTTTCTTTGCCCAGAGCTGTTGCTTGCCCGCACATTGCTGGCTGGCATGCGGTAAGTAGTTGAAAAAAAAAATTCTCTCAATATTTTTTTTTTAAACATTACAATTCCTTTTCTTTTTTCCCCTATATTTTGTTTAAATACTTTCATCAGAGAGGTGCAATGTTACCACACTGTACTACTCTGGGGGGTGATCGGGGATTTTTTTTTTTTTTACACTTTGCATTGCAGGAGCAGTGAAGATTATTGCTCTGCAATGCAAAGCTTGCTTTGAACATTTATGAATGTGTTAGGTTCATGACAGTTCAATATAATAGTGATCTGTGATTGACTCCAGCTGGTCACATGGTACAGGGTGCTGTGATTGGCCCCATGTGCCATGTGAGAGCTGTGGACCAATCACAGCTCTCCAGGAACAGATGCAAAGCTATTATGAATCAGATTGATTTAAAAAAGCGTTTTTGTCATTGTAATGACAAATGCGATCACATCATTGCCGGGTCCAGATTACCAGGTTTCTCATTCCGCTGTGTCCGGTGGACATGGCAAGGTGAGGGTTGCATGCCCGCTGAGGTACATAACGCCCTCCTGTTTTGGCAAAAGAGCAGCAATGTAAGGGTATGTCGCTAGTCCTGTAGCTGCCGCCCATCCGCAGTACATTGCAGGCGGGTGGCCCAAAAGTGGTTATAGCATCTACAAACTATGGTATATACACCAGATTTTTTTTTTTATACTACTAATGGCGATGATCAGCTGTGAGACTGTGATGAGCGGCAATCTGACACTAACTGACAGTGGGTGGGAACTAACTAACTGACACTAACATTTCCAGTGACACTAATACACTGATATGGAGTTAGGAGTGTGCCCAACAAGTGTAAATGTGTGTATTATGAGCTACTTTTTACTAAAAATATCTTTGTTCCTTCTCCCTGTTTTGCAGGGATCGTCCTCTGAACAGAGCCCTGTGTTGATTGTCAACACAGGGCTGTGGGCTGTGATTGGACACAGCTGATCAGCAAGTCCCAGCCATGAATCATCTGCTGACAAACTCACCATGTGTACAATCACAGAAGGAGCCAGCAGGTGGGGGCACACATGCCCTCAGGAGCGGACTGCCAAATCATGGGGCCCTGGGCAATAGGGGATCATGGGGGTCTGTGTCCTTGCCCAAACTCAAAAAAGCCTATGAAAAAGGTACCAGGGGCATCTCATGGGGCCCCCTACTGACCCTGGGCCCTCGGGCAGTGCCCGAGTTTCCAAATGGTCAGTCGGCCCCTGCATGCCCTGTACTCAGAAGAGGCCAGTGATGTACAGGCACGTTGCTGTGCCTGTACAGGCCGCCCATCCACAGCACATTGCGGGTGGTGGCAGGCAGTCCTTAAGTGGTTAAAGTTCATAAGACATGAGCTCATTTTTCTTGTTTGATGGCCTCTAATACAGCATACAAGCATTCATTTTGACTAAGACAACCACATGACAAAAGCATTAGAGCTTTGAACAAAAGGGGGGGGGGGGTCATCATTGAGGTGGTCTAGAGTTCTTTAGCATGATGTCTAACTATGGTCCTTCTCCAAACCATTATACCTGCACCATCAGATGTCCATACAACTTTCCTGGAAACTTATATGTAACCTTTGTTGGGTTTGCTGCAGCTTAGGATGACATTTAGGTGTGCATATTCTGAAATTTTAGACCTTTATTGGTGATCTGTATTCTGAACAGAGTTCTCCTTCAATATGGCATGTTCTCAGGTACTTAAGCAAAATACAAAAACAAAATAAATTGCGTATAAAAGCTTAACGGTCAAAATGGCATCTGCACATTCAGCAAACTGCACCGCTCATCTGTCAAATAAGCTGCACATTGTCTTTAAGTTGTTTTGACGTATATTTTCGGTGTAACAGATTTATGAGAAGACCTTGATGTCTGCAGTGATGCTGCGCTATGGACTTTCATCCAATATTGATGTAAAAACGATATTCACATTTAATGTGATTTATGTGTAATGTGTTTCAGTATATTTCCAAGCCCCCCGTGTGCATTGTCATGCTCGGCTCATATCAATTTATATTCAGAATTTATTTTGACTTATTCATATTGATACCCGGCAAATTTTGGCTCCAAGGCTAGCTAAACTCTTTTGGGTTCCAATGCAGGCGTTTGGAATTGGCCATTGCAAATGTTTTCATATTGTGACCCTTTGCTAGACTTTATATGACCCTTGGGGAACATTGACACTGGTAATCGGACACTAATCCTCCCACTGATACCAATGATTGGGCATAATGGCATAGCAACAGAGGTCACAGGGGTCACAATGGTGACCCTACCCATGCTCCAGGGGGCCCGTGTGGGCTCCCTGTCATATTACACCTGGACAGGAGGGGCAATGGGGACAGTATTTACAGGAACCAATCCACTTAGTTTTCTTTCTGCAGCTGCTGAAAGCCTGGCCTCCTCCTCTCCCTTCTGCCGGTGTTCAGTGGCTGTATGGAGGAACATGGAGATCAGTTTCTGTATATGCCTCCCTGTCACCTCTCCTGTCTGGGTTACTGTTTCTGCTGCTTGGGCCCCTGTGTGGTGGAAGTGGTGGGTGGTAGTGGGAGGGCCCCAGGTCAACTTTTGCATGGGGCCCACAAGCTTCAAGCTACACCTCTGATGGGGCAATTTTACGCCTCCTACTGTGCTAGTTTTTTAACTCTTACTGACAACAAAGTCTAGGGCATTGCTTACTTTTGCTAATACAGGGACATTTTCTATCCCCACAGGTCACAGTCTGGCCCCCTAAAGTCTGAATGAGTTAGCTGGCCCTTTGTTTATAGAGTTCAGAGACCCCTGACTTATTGCAACAAATATCTGGACATGAAAGATTCTTCAACATCCTGAGTTTTGTACAGCAAC